ATATATTTATCACAGCCAAACAGTAGCAAAAAGTAAAGTTTGAATCTGGAGGGCTTCTTTGTCATGATTAATATAAAGATGGACTATGTACTAGAAAAGAGTCTAATAAGCTTAGTGTGCGCTGAAGATACAGTGCTTCTATGTAAAGACGTTAAAATAATGCGCTCTACTGAATATCTTGAGAAAAATGAACTTTCTAAAATACGATTTAATATTATCAAATATAAGACAGATTCAGCGAAGAAATTATATATTATAATTATATCAATTATGTCACCCCCTATTACTCAATAATAGACCACTATATATTTTTGTAAGTATAAATACGATTGTACAGCCTCTGAAGATGATTTCGTCGATAAAGAAAATTTTCTTCGCTGAATCTGTCTTTTATTTTCTTCATGACTCAATGGGTATTTTCGGTGATTATCAAATATAAGATGATGCTGCAAGAATGGTTTTTAGCGACTCTTAATTTAAAGATAAGGAATGGAATAATTTGACGTATTGACCACCACTTTACTTATTTGGAATGTTCCATCAACTCTAATGGACTGATAATTGAGGAAGTCTCAGCACAGACACAAAAGACCAAGTTAGAGAAGTATTCAAGCAAAACAAGTGGCACCGAATCCATGAAATCTTTGACTGTTCAGTCCAAGGCCTGCACGGGGTTCTTATGAAGTATGACAACTTGAACTGCTGCATTTTTGTGCACAGTTCCAGTTTGGTCTACCACCTGATGATTTGCTTCAAGTTTAAATGACTGCCCTATATTGCAGTCCAAATCCATACGTTCACTGACAATCAGGTTAGAAGAAAAAGACGTAAACAGCGAAGAAAATTTTCTCTTAACGACGATTCATTTTTATGAGCTGTACAACAATCATAATTATATTTAATAAAGAATTCATAAGACAAACAATCAGATACTGGTAAAATTTGTCCTCGAAAAAGTACTACGTTATGTAACGTGTAGTCTATAGGGGGTGACTAATTGGAAATTAGAATTAGGGGGCAGAAGCTGGCATGATGTAATAAGTGTGATAAAATAACTAATACAGTTTTGTGGAGTAGAAAAGAACTAGTGGAAAGACGATAAAGTGTTTTTTTTATTAAAATATGTATGAAAACGCAATGTTATTAATAAACAGTAGTAGAGTGATAATAAAATTAGGATGATGAGAATAATAATAATAGTAAACTTACATAATAAAAAGAAGCAAAATTATAGTGAGAACGTTACTCTGGCCACACTAGAGTGAGGGAATGTATGTGGTGCTTTTGAATGTTAGAAACAACCAGATGGATGTTTGATTTGAAAGCAGCTTAGGAATCCACAAAATCATCTACGCTTGGTTTGAACAATGTAGGTGGGTGAGTGATAACTTGGTGTTTATCCTCGAGATGCTAAGAAGCAGATTTTGGACACTTCTGAAGAAAAGTCGTTAGAAATATCCCACAATGATATCCGCTATATTCACTCATCGTTATCTCCCACATTCTAAAAAATAGCATTAATCTTAAAATAGCTATTCTCTCTGTCATCCTAATGCTTGTCTATTAGAGTTTTATAGACAATAATATACATTAAAGTCCTATGAAACGTGACTTATCATCCGCACCCAAAAAAATACTGCACATGAGCTTGGAATTCAAAGGTAACTTAGCTGCCGACATCCTTGAAAGAAGTACATCACAGTCCCTGAAAAGTGCATTCCCTGATGCATACTTGAGAATAGATTTTACCAGTAGACCATTACTGTGCAATAACCTGAAGGACAAGATCCCACTGTTGACCAACTCCTCGTGCGTCTGTCATTTCACCCGCTCTTGTGAAGCTACGTATATCGGTGGTTCGACTGGCGTTTTGTTCAAGAGGGCACAAGAACATTACCCTGAATGGTTACGAAGAGGTAGAAGTGGAGCAACAAGAAGCGCAATCATTGAACATCGGGTCAATAATGATCACCATATCTCTACAGCCTCCGCCTTTGAAGTCATCTACAAGGTGAAAAGTAATTTGCCCACATCACTACGTATCCGACTCATCTGTATTGCTGAAGCAGCTTTGGCCATAGAAACAGAAAACTCAGATCTGTGTATACAGAAAAAGTCCATCCAATCCCTCCAACTTCCATGGTCTTAATCCCTCTATGGTACAGTATGCTAATCTCTAGTCATATTCTGGCTCCACCTATTTTTCGTTTAGTTTATTCAGTTTGTATACTCTTCCTTTATTACGTCAATTGTTACTATTACAATTCCCACTCTGAATTGTCCCCAGTATTATTTCACTTGTCATTTTAAATCAATTCTGTTTTGCATCGTGAAATCCTATTGTATCAAATTTCACCCAATGTTACGTAACGTTTTTATTTTATTCGATTTGCCTACTAATCCTATAACTGCATACCCTTTCCAAGTTCTATCCATCCTATGAATTATTCTATATGACATTAATTGTTTTGCCACTTAACATATAACTATGATTATAATCACAAACATTTTAATTTTAATTGCATTTCATACTACTATTATTATTTATGCATTCACACCTATGATTCAATTCCCTCACCGGATATAATTTTTTTTAAACCATTTACATAGTATTGTACAGCTTGATAATAAATTCATTGAAAAGAGTCTCTTCGCTGAATGACTTGTTTTGATTTCCTATATCAAAGTGTCATTATAATTTTATCTACTTATTTTATGTGTGATTACCCAGAACTGATAGACTTCTGTGAAATATTCAACTTAAATTCATCAGTTAACTTCAAATTATGCTGACAACTGCTGTGTAGAAGAGTAGAATTCCACCAAACACTAAAATCCATCATATTTCACGAATTCCATCGTTTTTGCCTTCAATTACTTCACAGATTGTGAAAGAAAGTGAACGAGTGTTCATCATCTGATTTGTGAACATTATCCTGCGAGATTAAGCAGGCGAAAAACCCGGTCAATTCGTAGATCTCTTATAGTTCACCGTGTACACTATCGAACATAAAGTCGATGTTAACAAGGCACTTCAAGTTATCCATCACCGCATTCAGACTAATCTTAATTTTAACTAATGAGTTAGTCCTTTACATATAACTGAAACTGTCGGAATCCACCTGCACCCAGAAGTTCGTTCAGACTTTGCCTTACTTTAGTCATATCATCGCCTTAACTGAATTTCATTGTTGCATAAATTTCTTTCTTGATTTTATCTAATTTTCACTTTTGGTATTACTTTTTTTATGCATATTATCACTTATGCCCGCTTCGTTCGACTGTAATTCTATTGATCTCAGCAACATCAATGTTTTCTTAATAACGATTACGCATTAAATTTTATGCATGTGTATGTATAACACTGTAGCAGTCAGATGAAGAAGTTAACAAAAAGAATATTCATTACTGAATCCTTCCCTTTTTGTCTTCTACATGAGAATTTCCTCTGCACATCTCTTCATATACAAGTGTTGGTTTGCAGGAATTTGACAGCTTACAGGTTTGATTACCAGCAGATATCTGTTACTTCCAGATTTGAGACTGTTTAGCAGAACGCACCAACCGGGGTACAAACCCAAGATCTTATGGTTACCAAGTCAGCCAAGAGAGAAATAACTCACCAGTGAATTTGCCTGGCTTTTGCGCTATTTAATCCAATGGTCGAATGATCTACGAGCTCCGCTTGTAGCCTCAACACCAATGGGTGAGCACAAACACTCCCGAATGAACTCCATAATAGATAAGATTTTATTTTGGTAAATCACACAGTGTTGTTATACAGTAATATTAACTGATGACCACGCTTCGAGCACAAATTATTCCCACTCATGATCATATCAAGTTACTCTCACAAATAGCCTAGATATTTGAATAAAAATCAATATAGGATAGTCTACATTCAGAAATAATAATATGACTGTTATTGATCAAGTACAATCAGATGGGAAATAAGACGAGTGTTTTTATAGTCATAATAAGTAACTTGTTAGAATGTTGTGATGTGCTTGAATTGAAATAGAATTTTGAGATTATTTATTATCCTCCTCTGATTTGACTGGTGGTAATAATATCTTCCATATCTCTGGTATTTGCATTGAGTCATTTCTGTTGCATGTGTTGAGTGTAGACTCAATGAACCAGGATTCAGTAATCAATCTCTCCCCCACCCTATTGTGTGTTAGTGCATGCAGTGCGATTGCTGAGTTTTCCTCTAAATTACTTATCTTCGTGGGATCAATCATTCTAACCTTAGCTAAATTCTTATGTTCTGATAATCTCACTACTCCCGATCTACTAGTTTGACCTATGTAGTTGACCTCACAGTCATTACAAGGTATTTTGTAAATTATATTATTTTGTCTAATTGGGTCAACCCACCGGGTCTTTTAGCCTACACATTTTGCCCTATCTGAGTGAGTTTGTAGGTTTGAATGCCACCTTAATTCTTGCTTCATTGAGAATCCTACGTAGGGCCTCAGATGTCCCCTCCTTATATGGTAGACCTGTAGATACCTTAAAATTCTATTTCAATTCACACACATTCTAACATTCTACTAAGTTACTTATTTTGACTATAAAAAGTCGTATTATTTCCCATCTGATTGTATTTGATTGATAACACTAGTATCATTATTTCTCAATGTACATTATTTTATATTGATTTTATTCAAATGTCTAATCATCAATTTCACTCATGTATATAAATGAAGGAAAAAGTTGTGTGACTAGTGACTTGATATGATTATGAGTGGCAATAATTTGTACTCGAAAAGTGGTCATCAGTTAACATTACTGCACAATACTGTGTGATTTATCAAAGCAAAATCTTATCCATAAAATGGAGTTATACTCTACCACAGTGTCCAAGTTTAACACTTACACCGAAACTAGGACGAAACAGCTGTCCAGTACCTCTCTCCCTGGTTTTCCACTGGTTCTCTCACTGATGCCACTAAGTGATTAAACCAATTTTTTTTAATTATCTCACAAATCAGAACTGACCAGTGTACATTTTTATTTAGAAATTTTCATTTATTAAAAGACAACTACTCAAGTATGAGAATACATAATTATACAAAGCAGAAGAATTATTCTACAAAAAAGACAAACAAAGTTCTCATTTATCTACAAGGCTAATCTTTCTCTTTTTAAAGGTATGTCCGAATCATCCTTAATCACATCATCGGTGGTTACGAAATCACCATCATCACCAATGTGTGTAGATTTAGCATCATCACCACCATCATCATGTAAGGGGATTATCGATTCATTTGTCTCTAATCCTTCAGCATTACTATTATTATTATTTATAGTGGCTGTATGGTCTGATGGCTGTCTGTAAGTATATGTATGATTGTCCAATGTTAAAAGCCATTCATACATACTGAACCATAATAAAACAAAATTGAAGTATAAGTTAAAGCGATATAGCATATAATGCGCAGGAGACAATTATTTGTTGAAAATAACATATTAGAATACGAGTTGATCACGGATTGATATCAGTTAGAGAACCATTGAAAACCAGTCACAGGAAGTACTGGACATCCAGCTGTTTCATATTAGTTTGAGAATCATTGGCGGTACGCAACCACTAGGTAGAAGTTAGAATTCACGCGGTGACCATTGAATCGGGTCCCAGTGGCTGAATGGTATACGAACCAGCTTGCCTTGTAACCGGAAGGTCCTGGGTTCGAACCCCCTGTGGTGGATGCGTACTGCCAATGATTCCCAAACTAGGACGGAGAAAAAAGCTATCCAGTACTCCAGTGCTGGTTTTCAATGGTTCTTTAACTGATATCAATCCGTGATCAACTCGTAAAAAAACAAAAATTAACCCTTACAAACCAACTACAGAAAATATCAGAATACACTAAATTATCATCAATATAAATTCCTACTAAATCAAGTTCGCAATGTGTGTAATTTACACAGTTCCCCCTTTTACAAACCGATATTATTCAGATCGTCTATGATAAATGGCATTCAAGCGAGAAAGCATAATTGTATTAATTTGCTATATACTACTGACCGACTGACCTTGTATGGGTAGATGGATACTAATCACACTACTCAACTGATAGTGCGCGCTTGCTGACCAGTCAAGTTGAAGTGATATACACACACACACACACCAGACGGTTGTTTGAGGCTATCCGATAATCAGAAACTCAATTTACACAATCTGAATTATTAACATTCAATACATAATTGATTCATAATGCATCATATCACTTCGACATATTTACCAAAGAACAGTAGTTAAGTTAACTGCCTACCACCAGCGACAGATAAGTCTATTGAAATCATCAAGGGTTGGTTCGTAGAGATTGGATTGGTTACAGGTTAAATGACGAGTTGTGATCAATTAGAGAACCATAGGAAAACCTGCGAGTAGTGGACAACTGTTTCGTCCTAGTTTGAGACCCTTCACTGGGTCCGAGAACTGCATGCTGAAGAAGAATCCCAAATTAGGACGAAACAGTCGTCCAGTACTCCTAGGTATCCGGATGGTTCTCCAACTAATATCACCTCACGATCAGATGTATGAAGATCATAGTATACTTATTATACATTACTGATAGCTAGAAGCTGATAGAAAACACAACCACCGAATAACTCTCTGAGTAAATTCCTGTTACAATGTACATTTCGACACGAACTCACATTAGTTTGAGAATTATTGAAAATCAATAGTTTAAATATCAATCAGTACAGTAGATTCACAACTACTGGATGCATGTCCTATAGTTGTTAGGAGAAGTTGTATAGCTACTGGAGCTCACCATGTTAGGGTGAAGTGAATGCCTATTGACGGGGCAGTGATTGGGAGGCAGTGCTATGTCGCAGGGGTTGACAAAGTTAGAATTTACCGGTTATTGAATTTGTGCTCAGTCCACAAATGTCTGAATGCTCAATGAACTGGCTTTGTAACCTGAAATCCATGAGTTCGACCCACAGTAGTGTCATGGTAGTCATTACAATATCACTCCAGATTACATAATCAGTGCAACTTCAAAGAATTTAATTCCTTTAGGTTACAAGATCAGCCTCTTGATGGAAGAACCATCCCCAGTACTCTGTGATTTTCGATGGTTTACATAACTAATGTCATCTTAAGATCTAATCTGAGACGATTGATCAATCAATCAACCAATCAAATGCTCACAAACCATCAACACTTTTAGGCGAATTATCACCTAATCTAACAGATAGGGTTCAAAGTGTACATGAAAGCGGAAAAAGTAAAGGATACGATTTTTCTTCTGTCTCCACTCGATCAATATGTTCATAGATATATTGAAGCTTAAATTTATCCCTTTGTTCCTGTTAAAACAACAAATTGAAGACAAAGAAAGACATCATTATGTGAAATACAGCTTTAAATAAAAATTAAAATAATTAGTTCCTTTGATAAATTTGAATAAGACATTTATAAGACAAATTTGGCGAGATGATATCATTTTCGATCCCTGTACCTACGATAAAAGGACGAAATTCTGTGAAATCTACTTCAAACTACCAACAAGTTCACCTGCAGTTGTGGTGACACCTATATAGGTAGACCGAATAGAATGTTCCAATGTCATCATCGAAAAGAACATATTCCAAAATGGTTATTAAAACACATAGAAAATCCCAATGCAATTAATCTGAATATAGAGCCATCGTCATCCATTACAAAGCACTTATTAATGTCAAGTCACAAAATCAATATTAATGACTGCTTCATAATTATTTCATCACATAACTTTAATTCAAGGTTGGTTATTGAAGGTGATGGAAGCACTTTGGATTGATTAATCACATACATCCTAAACTGTGTACAAAAAACAACAATAGACTTCAACCTTCGCCTACCATGAACTGACTACTTGACCTATTTAAATGTGATTGGTCATTAGTAAGTACTTTTGGTTTTTATATAACTGAGTAACTGTCATGATCTTTATTTTATCACTGTTAACCGTGTTAGTTGTAAAACATGGTTGTAAAGAAACTACGAAATGATGTCATCATCTCGCGAAATTTGTCTTCTAAATGCCTTATTTAAACAGAAAGACAAATTGGGTTTTTTAAAAATGGAATATAAATAATTCCCGTTATTTTATAATAGCTGGTTATTTATGTGCTTGTGTGTGTGTGCGAGTGTGGAAGATGATGATACTAACTAGGTGACCAGAGATCCACTGACTAAAAGTCAAATTTGAATAAAGCACTTAGAAAACAAGTGTCGCGAGATGATGATGATATGATTTCGCAGTTTCTCTATAATCGCTTTACAACTAGCATGGTTCACAATAATAAAATAAAATGCATGACAATTACTCAGTTGCATAAAACGAAAGTACATACTAATAATCAATTTCGTCCTTTAATCGTAGGTACAGAAGTCGCATATGTTCGAGATGTAAGAGAAAGAGATACGACATAGGTGCGCTTGATAGCTGACATAAGCCTTTGAGCTGTCAGTTGCATGATTTGGTCACCCTTGAACGAAAGTATAGTAAAGATATCTTCCTTCGGTACGGAAGTTGTCTTTTCAAGGCGTAGTCTTTTCTTACTGTGACATACGGTGAATTTTTCAGGGTAACTATTAGCTAAATAAAACTGAATGTCTGTACCGTAGCTCATCCATTACTGTGTACATCGCTCGTGCAGATTTCAATGGCCCTTGAAAACAGGCATTTCACTAAGGAACGTTTTCATTGGATGGGAACAAAACTGTTAATATAAAGATATTGTCCATTTGGTGTGTGTGTGTAGTTGCGAAATATAGATCATCGCTTAATTGTTCCGTCGCTTCTTCTAGACAGTTATGCGTTCGAATTCTGAGGTCCATCGAATATTTGGGTAAATATTATTTAAATAGATTGAAGGTTTCAATCGTCTCACTGCTGTCATTAGTAATAAGGTTTATACACTTGGGATTAATCACGCGCATCCCAGACTATATGCACATTAAACTTCAACTTTCGCCTACCATGTGAACTATTTGATCTACTAAAATATGATTGGTGGTTATCAGTATGTACTTTTATGTTATGCAACTGAGTATTTGTAATACATTCTATCTTATTATTGTTAATCATGTTAGTTGTAAAGCGATTGTAGAGAAACTACGAAATGATATCATCATCTCGCGACACTTGTCTTCTAAATGCCTTATTTGAATTTATCAAAGGGACAAGCGGTCCCAATGAAAGTCGAACGTTTAGGTTAACAACCGACATCTCTTCAGATTTAAATACGATGGTAATACAATGGTAATGAGCAAAAAAAGGTAGTTTGATTGGTTAGTTTACGAGGAGAACAAGAAAGTCGGTTGAAACATGATGTTAGGCATTCTCAGAAGAAAGAAGGGATTACACTGGAAGAAGGAGGAAAATAGCTATTCTAAGACCTAAACACAAATTTATGAAATTATAAAAGCTGTTTCTTTGAGTCCTTTGGATTTGCTAACTCGGATTCTGTATGATGATGATAATTTCAAACTTATGCCCTTATCTGTAATATTACTCGATGATCTCTGACAATATTATTTATTAATTATAAGATATTAATGGTTGAGATTCACACACCTAAACAGTAATACTATAGTACCATGTTGACGTTGTCTGTCTGACCACCCTGACTGACTGAATGAGTTTCAAAGTAAATCTATCTTCAGAAGCATAGGAGTTTAACTCATCGCACTCAAAGCAGCACACAAAGATAGACAACAACAAAATTTTAACCAACTATAATAAACACAAATATAAAGGGAAAAGAATACCAAAATGAGCAAATACCAGATCTGAGGGAACTACAAAAGGAGAGTGCACTCGCGCCATTGACAACAATCTTCAGTTATTGGTTCTTAGCACCTCCAGGACTCTAAAACACACAGCCTACACCACTTCAAACGTGGCTGTCTCTCTTATGACCACAACTACAACCCATCAGAGAAAGAGCAAATAATAACCTAATGAGCTGGCTGATTTCTACAAATAATACGTAAACAACACTAATAACATAACACCACTGCCGAAAAGGCAAAAGAAGAGCCTGAACGTCGATAAGACAGCTTTGACTGTCTCAAAACAACAGTCAAAATGCTGGATAGAAATTCTCATATATATATATATATATATATATATATATATATAGTCAGAAGGACCCTGAAAATGCAGTAATTCCGTGATGCGTTAAAAGTATTAACAGCCAATGGGAATCCAGCAATCCAAACAGAGGGAAAAACAAAAGACCCACACTAAAGCGCGATAACTCCTTAAAATAGCAATTTTAAGGTTTTAGGCGAAATTAGACAAAACCGGGTGTATATAACACCTCCCTCCCCCCGCAAAAAAAAGAAAACTGTACAACAACATTTAGTACTTCGTCGCTTTTGGGTCCACTTGAAGTCGTACAGTCCGAGATGTGCTGCGACTGGATCGTCTTCTTGGTAGTAGGTCCTTCATCTTCGGTTCCGACTTCCGTGGAGTTGGTAAATTAAATGTTTCAAGTAGTAGGTGAAGGGGTATGATGGGCTCTGCGGATGTAACGTGACGACGTCGTAATTGGTTTTTATATCTCATTCAAGTTTCATGACCCACTGTAACCACGTACAAAACAGCTCCAAGTTGATCTTTTATTTGGCCTTTTGCCCATTTCCCTCTTCTTGCTCGGCAGTCTCGAGCGTATACCAATTCTACCGTGTAGAAGTATCCTGCAGCCTTCCTCCATTGAGTTGGTGGTGATGGCAGCATTATGTGACGATGTGTACGCAACATTCGTCCCATTAAGAGTTCTGCTGGACTTTTCTTCATTACTGAGGTTAGCGTTGTGCAAAGCGTTGTGTACACAGTGGTACTCTTACAAAGTTTCATTCAACCCTGTCGAGAAATCTGCACATATATGGATCGAACCATTTGCTTTCTTGATAACTACAATGGGAGCCGCCCACAATGAATGTGTTACCGGTGTTAGAACTCCTTCATCTACTAACCGTTTTAATTCTGCCCCCATCATTTGCTATGAGGCATATAGCGCGGATGTTTTTGAGCCGAAGATTGGTGCTGCATCGTGTTTCAATCGTAAGACGGCTTTCGTATTGTTGCGATGGCCTCAAACCTGGCTGGAATAACATTTGGAATTCTTGAAATTCTGTCCACGGATCAGTTGTTGCAATATTATTGCACATATTGTTTAGGAGGATTTCGGAAAGCTGTAATTCTGCGAACCAATCTAGATCAAGTAGACCTCCATCTCTATAAGAGATACATCGATGATACTTTCATTATTTGTAATGAGAAATGTGATCTAAAAAACCTATTTCATATCTTCAATAACAACGCCCGCCCAAATACCAACTGCACTCTGGAAGTTGAGTCTGAATCAATGTTTCATTTTCTCAACGTTCAACTACGAAGGAATGCTGACAATTCGCTAAAAGGGTTCACCTACAAAAAGCCCACATGGAACGGACACTTTACCAACTTTAAAAGTTGTGTGCCTCTAAGCAGAAAGAAAAACCTAATATACTCTTTTTCCTCGAGAATCCGGGAGATGTGCACTGAGGAGTCAATCGACGAAGAATCGCAAAATCTTCGAGGGACTTTAACAGAAAATGGATTCCTACCCAGATTCATAGACAAGAATCTAAAACCAAAGAAAACACCTGAAAAGGTCAAAGTCGCCCCAAAAATATGCCAATACTGAACCTCGAATTCAAAAGCGATAGTGAAGCAGAACTTCTCCAAAGACGCCTTTCGAGGTCTCTCAGTAAAACATACTTCACCGCCAGCCTATGAGTAACATTCTCCTGCAAGAAACTACTCATCCAGCACGCGAAAGACAAGCTGTCACATTGGACCACTTCAACATTCATATACATGTTCACTTGTTCGTGTGGAACCAAGTACATCGGTTGTACCATGCATCCGCTTGTAAAACGCGCTCGGGAACACTATCCAGCATGGTTAGCAAAGGGAGAACACAAAGGAGTATACAGTTCGATAACAGAACATCTGGTGAATTCTGGACATTCAGCTCCATTTGAAAAGTCCTTCAAAGCCACATACAAGATCCGATCAAACCTACCAAATGGAGTGGAATGCAGACATTTACGAATATTTGAGGCACTGGTGATCCAAAAACTCAAGCCTACTCTATGTGTCCAATAGAAATACGTCCAACCGTTGTCCCTTCTTCCGTGGCCATCATGAAAAGTCAGTCCCACCAATAATGATTATCCGATTACCTTTCTTGTCCTGTTTATTTCTGTTATATTTACGTTTTTAATTCCTATCTGTCTGCATTACTAGATTAGGTTGCTTGTTTTTTTAATTTTTATATGTCCGAACCTCCTACCTATTTTTTGTTAATACTACGTCCTTAATCCGTAATTATACAAACTGACGAGTTTTACAGTAATTATAATCTTATTATGTCTTTTCTACCCGATCTTCCTGATTATTACACATTGTAATTTTATTAATTTAACCCTTGACCAGAAACAATTCTAGAACTTTCTCAAACATTTAATACAAATACACAAATGTACAGCCTAGTTGATGACTTCGTCGAAAATAAAAAATTTTCCAACCTAATCTTATGTCAGTTAACACTGCTCAGTGAGGACGACGGCGGCTTAGTATGCATGGCACGTGTGTCTTAGACATCTAAATCGATGTAGCTTTCCAATCTGATTGACTGAACTTCCCACTATGCCTTACACTACAGTATAACTCACCATAATATGCCCTTTAACACGGGAGACAAAACGCAAACATATGCGATCAAAGACAGTTAGCCTTTTCGTATCATCTCCTTTCTACGGGCATATCTATCTCACAGCCATAAGGAAGGATAGATTAAACAACTAAGGGGTACACACGTCCTTTGACGCATAAACCCGATATCATGTCCACGCAAGAGATCACGTAAGTTGGCAAATGTGCCACATGACCTTTTTGTAACTGTTCTGTGATTTCGTTAGTAATCAGTTCATTAAGGTTAATGCAGCTTCTCAAGTAAGTCAAAGGGTCACAACAAGCCTAACCACTTTACGCTACACCTAGGATGAGGATGAACAAAGCTATATTAGTTTGTTTATTAGATGTATCACACAGTGAAACAGTATTATTATTTACTGGATGACACAGTTTCGAACAAAACTTATTGTTCATAATCATGTGATCAATTATAATCACACGACTTCGAAACTTCAGTTTTATAGTTTTCTTTGTTCTCTCCTATTTGTCGTCGTACGGGTAGTAGAATATTCCAGATGTCAGAGTGGGCAGGTGTTGAATCATTCCTATTGCAGACACGTATTTACAGTTGATTCGATAAACAAAGCTTCTGTTATCAATCTCTCCCTCCACCCTGTGACATCAGATTTTAAAACTGTCATTTTATCCTATTGTATGGTTGTGTGTGACTGCATGTAGTGCTATAGCTGAACTATTCTCTAGATTTCTTATCTTATTCGGGTCAACTAATCTAGATTTTGCTAGTTTTTTATGCTCGGCTAGTGTGACTACACCTGTTCCACTACTTTGACCCGACAATCACTGCAGGGTATTAGATAAACTAAATTGTTTTTTTAATTGGCTCCACAGGCTCCTTTAACCGACAAACCTTGTTTCTAATTGAGTTTGTGGGTTTGAATGTCAGCCACCTTTATTTCTGCCTTGTTAAGAATTCTGCCTAAGGCTTCCGAGGTTCCTTCCTTGTATGGGATTACTACTGATGATTTAGATTCCGTATTGTTAGTGTTGTCTTGCGCATGTTTGACATGCATATTGTTATTAATATTACCATTATTATTATCACTATCGCTGCTATCATTGTTTATTTTATTTTTACATTTCCCTACACGCACTACATGCAATTACACACAACCAACCATACAGTAGGATGGGATAAAATGACAGTTTTAAAATCTAATGTTACAGGATGGAGGGAGAGAGAGAAGCTTTGTTTACCGAATCAACTGCAAACACACATAATAGGAATAATTCAACACCTGTCCAGGTGGATATCTGGAAAATTCTACTACCCCAACGACGACAAATAGGAGAGAACAAAGAAAACTATAAAACTCAAGTTTTGAAGTTGTGTGATTATAATTGATCACATGATTATGAACAATAAGTTTTGTTCGAAACTGTGTCATCCAGTAAATAATAATACTGTTTCACTGTGTGATACATCTAATAACAAACTAATATGGAATTACTTACTACCACAGTGCCTACGTTTTACACATATATTAAGATGAACAAAGCTGTACACTGAAATTAAAAAACACTCACCTCATATTTACTCCAATCAATTGGATCATGTATACCATCATTTTGATATTTCTGGTTATATTGACTAAAATCAACTTGATTCAGCATAAGACCTAGTCCTGGTGCTTTAGGTATATCCAGCTGTAAAACACATAGAAAAGAATGTATATAAGCATTATAACATGTGATGAATAAAGCATGATTATTATTATTATTTTTTCCTTGGGTTCCAACTGGAGCAGAGGGAGTCAGCAGCACATTACCACTTCACTCTGCTCTCCGCAGTCTAAAAGGAGTGCGTCGACCGGGCATCGAACCCTGGACCACATGCATGGTTAGCGAGCATTGTGCCCCTGTGCCACTGCGCTAAGCCAGTAAAAAAGACTGGTAAAGAGGGAAGGTTGGACATAAGACTGGCAACCCTATCCTGTAAAAATAAACACCACTGCTACCGAAACTTAAAGCCTCTAGCTTGAAGCTCTGTCTGTCTGGATTCAACATAGAAGTGCAGCAGTTCGAGTTGCCACGTTCCAAATACCACACAAGGGTAGACAAGAAGATGAGTGAAGAGAATCAATAGAGTTTTGACAAGTATAAGAGTGAAACAGAATGAGTTATGGTAGAAAGGAATATGAAAGATTACAGAGACTGAATACATCTGCGCCATTAACAACGATTTTGAGCCATATCACCTATTGTCTCCAGCCATTGATTCTTAGAGTCCCGAGGGCCCCAACCCGTAAGTCTGTATCTCTCTACCTGACTCAGTTTACCTATCAAGCTTGAAGCTCTATGTTCCACTGGGGACGTACAAGAATAAAATAAATAGTAATAATAACTCCACAGTCTATTTTAGCTGGCTCTACGGCTGACAATAAACTTTCATCTCTCCCCTCACAATATCTCTTTCATGTCAATCTCAGACGTCCAACTCATCGTTTCCCAACCGAGTTCCATTCGAGAGGTTGACTGGCTCGTAATGTCACTCAGTGGGCTCTATAGCGTATGTTTAATCCATCTCCACTTCCCTCTGTATATCTGCTAGGCGACCGGTAATTGGTTGATTCGTAGCCATAGTTTCTTGTTGCTTATCCTACCTGACTGGCCAACTGATTTTCAATATTGAAAGAAGGTAGCTGGTGATGCAAGTCTGCGGTAGCGTACAGCAAGTCTCTGAACCATATAGAAGCACTACCTGACTCGATATTAGTGTTGAAGATCCAGACCTCATTCCTTATGCTGAAGCAGATTTCCACAATGATTTCAGATTAATGAAGTGCTGTCATGTCTTCCCGATCGTGACTTCAACATCCTCATGCGTGCCGCCACCTGAATTTGAAACGATGTTGGGTAGATAAACGAAAAGAGTGACTCTCTCTTTAGATTTCTCCAACTGATGATGATTGGTGTCCACCTGAAGTCTTCTTTTTGCCGCCTATTCTTCGAACTTGTCAATTTTCACCTGTAGATCCTCGAGTTTGTGTGACTTTGCTTAGTTTACTAGTTCACTAAATAACCCTAGGCCCGGAAAAAGAGGGCAGATTAAGCGCGGGGCTAGAGACCAAACCAGTGAAAATCAATTCAGTCACTGCATAAACGTTAAAGTATAAAAAACGAAATACATAAAATTAACTTATACTAGTAACCACTCATAAAGGTCAAGGTTAATAATAGTCAGGATACCTTTATGATCGGTACAAACTGGTAGAGTTAATGATTGAAACTGGCATTAAAAGCGTGGTTGAGCATTGAAAAGCGTAAGATTAATAATTCTAAGGTGGATGTTTAGATCCGTTAAGTCGAATATATGTAGGATATGACTGATTTTGTTAACAGTACATTATTATTGAGAATTAAGTTTATTAAAAATTCTGGAGTACTAATTGTCTGATATGAACATTTTATCACTGTACACTCGGTGACTCATTGATAAAACGAGAAATGACCGATTGTACATTTCTACAATTGCTTGTCAGTAGAAACCTCCTAGTGGGTGAATAGTAATCTGGTGATTCTGAACTCAAACAGACAAATAGTAGATGCATACTACTGAAGAGTTTCCATAGAACACGAAGCATATATCAAATACTTTTGACTGAATGAGTGTCAACGTAGAACTCCGCACAAAAGTGTGCCAATTCAAATAACCACACCTAATATGGTATACACTAAGGTAGAGAAAAAAACTCGAAAAAAACTGCAATGACCGGAAACATACAGTAGAAAGAGTAACTTAACGAAGAATAATTAAAATTTGATAGGTGTAGGATTTCAGAAAAAAGAATGACAACAATTTTGAGCCATGTCACCAACAGTTCTTACTGTCTCCAAAACCCCAACGAGACAGTCTACAACAACCAACAGTCAAAGATTTCATGGACTGACGTCATATTTCGATCTAACCACCCCCAACTCTTTTCCAACCTAATCCTATGTCAGCCAACATTACTGGAAGACGGCGGTGGCTCAGCATACGTAAGATATATCCTAGCCACCTCTTTAATCAATATATCTTCACAACCTCATCGATTGAATTTCCCTCAATACCTAACACTTTACCCTCAACTCTAATGTTACTCACTATATTATACCACTGAACAAGGGTATCCAATACTTCGAGTTATGATGATATAGCTATTACAAATGCACTTCCTTGGGGACAACATCAGCGAGATACTAACACACCGCCTTAGAAATGCAGTAAAAATAGCATTCCCTGACGCCGAATTACGCTGTGTCTTCAAAGCCACCCACTCCCTATTTTGCGTTCGGGAGTAAAAGACAAACTGCCTACTTTCGCCTGTTCCATGTGTATCTACCAATTTAACTGCTCTTGTGGAGTGAGCCAGTTACATAGGCCGTACAATTAGGCGTGTTTCTCGTCGAATTTCTGAACATCACCCTGCCTGGTTAAGCGAAGGACAAACAATATATATGTATATATATTCGCAGCGCTATTCTATCTCATCTTGTGGATACACAACACAAGATTGACGTTAACCAGGCTTTCAGGATCATTTACCGCAAACCTACGAATCTCAATTTTGCCTTAAGAGTTCGACTACTAAATATAGCTGAGGTTGTTGGGATCCATGTTAACAAGCCTAATTTGTGCATCCAAAAGAAGTTAGTTCAGACATTGTCCTTACCTTGGCCATCTAGGTTTGAATGATCCTCAATTTTTGTGGAATTTTCCTAGTTTTAGTTGATATTCTATTTGCTATTAAATCTTTATTATTATTGTAATTTAAGTATCTTTAATGAACTGTAATTCCACTGATCTTACTTTACAAATCGATATTATTTAAAAAACACTAATATTGTTATTGACTAGAAGAGGAAATTATCGCAAAGGATATTCTTTGCTTAATTATTTTGTGTTTTATAGCCGATTTTAAAACACTGAGACATCAGTTCAAACCCTATTTAATCTAAGCAACTGGTTAATGTAATTTTCAATAGTCAAGTATGCTGCACAAAGGTTGATGATACTACGAGTTTGTCCAGGTCGAAGTTAATAGAACTAAATGATTACCAGTGACTACTATCACTACCTAATATTTACCATTAAAACAAAAACTTGGTCCATTATGGGCACCAACAGATGCGCCAACCAAACTCTCATAGTTTGTGCAAGGGCAGAGATACTGCTCACACGCCCAGACCAAAGCAGGTGATTGTCTTAAGGAGTTATCCAGTCCCCGAGCCTTTAACTTGAAGTCTGATCCACAAGACAATGAAATAGATTCAGGAACTACATTCCCATGATTTCCGGTGACCAAAACAGGTTCATATACCGTTCTATCCCTAAGAATTCTGGAGACCATGTACACGATAGGTTAGGATTCAGGCTTTACCAGCTCCCTAAGGTAGATGGTTTGCATATCCACCAGTCCCAATGTAGGCGTCAGACGTCCGCACTCACCCTTTCACTTTTGTTAGAAACACCCTAGGTGCGTGAAGGCAGTGATGAATACGGCTTACCTGACAGAACCACTACCCACTGGGTGACTAATGTGATAGAATTATTTAGTAATAAAATCAAACTTTTAATAGAAATGAACTAGTTAACACACACACACACACACACACACACAACTTCCTTTGCCTATACAAACACTCATGAAGAATGATATAATTCGTTGCGACATAATGATTGAGGTAATCTACTGTAACTACCTTTCCCATATTTTTGCGTCCCAAGTGGCGCACATAGGGCTTCAAACATGTGCTTTAACGTTTCAGTAGCGGCAACATTGTTTCATTTTACGCGATGGAGTTGCCAGCCTCACAACCAACCTTCCTTCTTAACCGAGCTTATCGAACAAGGTTTGGAGTGTGGGAATCAAACTCGGACAATGTATGTGTGATTGCAGAACATTCTATCACTGAAACACCAACGCACTCTATCTATCTACTATAACAAGTGTTAAAGTTATCTAAACTGCCTGAGTGACGTAACACATTATCGACTGTATTCATGAATAGTAGAAAAATAAAAATGAAGACTACACCATATATATATATATATATATATATATATATATATATACATAAAACAGAATAAAAGACAATATATATACACAATTGACACTGTATCGCTTACTCTTTCTCGTTGAAATACCAAGTCGAATACATCCTCTTTTGTATAACCTTTTAAAATAGCCAACATTAAACCAATCATTTTACGTATTTGATGTAGCATAAACGACTGACCAGTGATACGAATAAGCGTGTATTCATGGTCACCAAGTAGAAATGCTGGCATACATTCAGCGGATATGATAAAACGATTACAACTTTTATCGGTTGCAAGTCTAGAGAAGAAAAGAAAGACGATTGAGGAAATAAATAGTCTGTTCGAAAACGCTTCTCATCTGACTGCTGAAGTTATAAATATATACGTTTATAATATTTAAAGAATAGCTGTCATTGATAACATTGGAGTTAGTTTAAATACTATCGAGGTGTTAAGATCAATAGAATTACAATTCAAAAGTATGTGTAAGTGATATTACACAAAAATTTTAAAAAAGAAGTGACTCAGAGAAGACACTTCAATGAATTTATTATCAAGCTGCACAATCGTATATGTATATATGGTTTTTACGAAATTATATCCGGTGAGACAATTGAATCATAGGTGTGAATACATAAAATAATAATAGTAGTATGAAATGCAATTAAAACTAAAATGTTTGTGATTATCATCATAGTTCAGTGTGAAGTGGTAAAACAACTGATGTCATATATAGAACAATTCATAAGATGTATATAGAAGTTGCAAGGGATGTAAAATTATATGATTAGTAGGCAAAGAGGATGAAAAATAAAAACGTCACGTAACATTGTGTCATGACGGCCGTATGTGGAAGAAGAAAATGGATTTCCGCCATGTTTTTTAGACAGAAATATACAGCCATAACCTATGAAATGTGACTTTTCATCCGTTACCAAGGAAATACTGTACATGAGCTTGGAATTCAAAGGTGAGTTAACTGTTGACATCCTTAAAAGAAGGATCTCACAACCCTGAAAACTACATTCCCTGATGCATCTCTGAGAATAGCCCTTACCAGTCGACCATTACTGTTCAATAACCTGCAGGACAAGATCCCGCAGTTGACCAACTCTTTGTGCGTTTATCATTTCACCTGCTCATGTGGAGCTAGGTATATCGGTCGTTCGACTCGAGTTTTCTTCAAGAAGGTACAAGAACACTGCTCTGCATGATTACGAAAAGGTGGAAGTGGAGCAACAAGAAGCGCGATCACTGAACATCTGCTCGATAATGATCACTCTATCTCTACAGCCACTGTCTTTAAAGTCATCTACAAGGCGAAAAGTAATTTGTCCATATCACTACGTACCCAACTCATCTGTATTGTTGAAGCAGCTTTGGCCATCTAAACAGAAAAGCCCGATCTCTGTATGCAGAAAAAGTTCGTCCAACCCCTCCAACTTTCATAGTTTTAATCCGTTTATGCTGAAGTATGGTAATCCTTAGTCATATTTTGGCTCCACCTATTTTTCGTTTTGTTTATTCAGTTTGTATACTCTTCCTTTATTACGTCAATTGTTACTATGACTATTCTCACTTTGAATTGTCCCCACTATTATTTCACTCATCCCACCTGTCATTCTAAACCAATTTCATTTTGCAACGTGAAATTCTATTGTATCAAATTTCACAGTGTTACGTAACGTTTTTATTTTTATTCTATTTGACTACTAATCCTATAACTTCACACACTTCGCAAGTTATATACATCCTATGAATTATTCTATATATGACATTAATTGTTTTGCCACTTGACATATAACTATGATTATAGCTAGCTACATAAATTGTTCTATGCAGGTCTTATCAAAACGTCGAATCAAACCGAGTACACCGCTGGTCACTTCGACTCCCAATGAGTGAAACAACCGTCCGGTGTTTAGATCACTTCGATCTGGTTGGCCAGTAAGCACTACTTGTTGATGTGAATGGTATACAACTACTAGTAGTATCAAGCAATCAGTAGTATACAGTTTCACGTTTGTTTTTTCAAATGCCATTTATGTTATCAGGCAGTTGATATACTGTGTGTGATCTAAATAATTTCGATTTCCAAAAGAAACTGTGTAGTAAAATGTCTCCTCGAACTGTGAAAACTGAACATCACGAAGTAGTTTGCTTTAAAGTTGAATAAAGAACTACTGAAATGGAATAGATACTGAACAAAGAGCACTCTTTTCGATAACTTCATCATCAGGCTCTACAGTTATATATACACATTATAGTGAATGAATGAATGAATTAGTGTTATGAACAACATTAATGTTGTTTAAATAACATCGAATCAATAATATTAATAGATTACAGCTGAATAGCATCAACATAAAATAAGCTGAATGTCAGAAACATTACGAAAGATAATATTACATATTCTTGAATTTATAGTCTCTACTGAAGACCGGCCAGGGCAGTAGTAGGGGCTGGACTTTCTTCTTTTGAACACAGAGCACTGGATGTTTCACGCGAATTGCAATAGCCTCTGCTGTTTAAAGCATGCGATGCTTCGATGATGTTGGCAATTTATTAGGCACCCGGTAAATGATAGAGAAGGATTCTTCTACGCTGGCTTTGTGGCTGGTTTGCACCAGATGGTCAAATATCGAACTGTTAATAGTTTTAACTACACCTTTACTTAGCCATAGTGGGAAAGGCTCTCGATCACGGAAAATCAAGTTCCTAAAGCAACGTCCGATATAACTCGCTCCACAAGCGCAGCTGAATTGGTAGAGACAATTTAAAATGGCTAGTCTAGGTACTTCATCTTTCAGTCGAGGTAGCACCATCGGTCGTGTAGAGAATAAGACGTGTAGTTTGCCAGCATTAAAAGTTCTTTGAACTGGTTTTCTTGATTTCTTCGTAATTATCTCACTTGGTATATCGTCCTTGAATTGTAGTCGTATAAAGTGGCTTCTTGTTTACAGATAGTGATAAATTTTTCGGGATAGCTATTTTCGATCAAAATATCATATACAATGCTTAATTCATCTTCAATTACTTCTTCTGAGCATATAGCTGTAACTCTGTGGCTGAGGATCTTTGCTAAATTTCTGTATATATAACTGTAGAGTCTGATAATGAGGTTATCGAAAAGAGTACTCTTTATTCAGTATCCATTCTTTTGAAAAAATTTAATGGGCATTTTTAATCAGTTGAAATGCAATAAACAACAGGAAGAATTATTTGTTTTGTTTTTTTTATTTTCGCAACATACAACTTACCTTCCAGAAGTGAAATTATAAAAATTATGCGTCCCTTGATATCTGCCTAACAGATGATTAGCTCGAGTTATCTGTTCAGCTGTTACACGATAATTCCAACAACTTGAATCATTCAATAAAGTACTAGACGAGGCTGGTGATAAAGCGAATGTCGGCAATAGATAGTCATAAACTCGATGACTACACGAACCTTTGGCAGAGAAACAACGGGTTGTACGAATGATATCTGTGGAAGAAAATAGAAGAAGAGTAAAGCAAATCCAACATATCGATTTATCAGAATATGTTTTTATCACACTATCGGAAAAAAGGTTAAATATTACTGCAGATGTATGAATAGTATACTGCATTCCCTTTGTAATATTGACCAGAGTATGTGATTATGCTTCCCTGTGTAGCCATAATGGCTAAAACATCCGACTTCCATCCGATGACTGGCACGCTTGAATATCCTATATCACTGCCACTGGTCGGTATTGTTTGCTGGTTTAAGTATACAGAATGAAGTGTTAGACTGTACTGACAATTTATGAAGGTGTTGACAGTCTCCTAGTGTTTTTAATCTGCTACTCAGTGAAGAAAAAAAGTTATTCATTGGTTAAACCCATGATACGTCGGTTATTTTCAAGGGAGATCTCACCTTCAATCGCTGTTAGATGGCCGGAGGTAATCAGCAGGAAGCCATGGACACAGGCTTCGTGCTTTTCGGTACTCGTCAGCAAAGCGTATCTGCGATCTTGAAGAAATGCATGTCCCTTCTAAGGTCCAAACCACAGTTCCTCAGTGCTGCCATCAAAGATCTTACTATTGAGCTATTTTGGGTTGCAACTGGCCTCCTGTAGGAGTGTAATGGACACTTTGACTGGACATTAGGTGGTGACTAGTGTTTCTTCGAGATTGCAGATAGGTGAACTATCTAATAATAATCTAGAGTGCACTGTGATGGCGAATCGTCTAGGCCGATGGCCATATTTCAAACTTGACTGGTAGAATTCAGTCTGCATCAACACTAACGACTAGACACATAACATTAGTTACTACCTAGTGTTCCATCAAAGATCTCATCCAGCACCAATACCAAGTAGATCCTCGGAGAGAGGGATGTACGTGTGCACTGATGAGAAGTTCCGTACTAGGAAGAAACAGCCACCCAGTTCTCCATAGTTTCCAGTGGTTTTCTAACTGACACTGATTAGTAACAAACGCTGATCTGAAAGACGCTAGAATGGCTTACTGATGTCTTCATTATAAGGACAACAACTATATATAGAGATGACAAAAAGAATAAACCAATGCAACCAAAACAAAAAAAACCAAACTCACCAAGTATACGAATATTTTCTGGTAGGGCATCATTTAATTTGCTTACCAAATCATTGTTGTCTCCTAGCTTGATGTGTTTTTTGTTGTGTTTTTTTCAAATTAAAAATTAATTAAGGACAACATACCAACATTGAACATACTTGTCCAAGAGCAGAAACAGATTTGTCAGTTTTAGAGGCACGTTGAAAGTGAAACTAGGTGTGAAAGAGAGAAAAATAACATATTGAATTGTAATATTGAACACCTGAAATAATCATACTACATAAAATGATAAAAATAGTTACTCTTAACCGATAGCTTGCTTCGTCTTTCATTATAGCTGTAAAACACGGCCACTGAAGGTGTCAGAGATATGAAAAGGCTAGCTACCTTTGAACTCAGATGTTCGCGTCCTGTCTCGCGTATTATGGTGGGTGATACTGAAGTTAGACTTAAAGTGTTAAGTAAGGAGGGAAAGTCAGTCAATGACGTTGTGAAGCTACATCGATTGAAATTATTAGGACATGTGTTGCGCAGGCTGAGGCACTGCCTTCTTCGGCAAGCAATGTTACTCGACATAGGATTAGGTTGGAATAGAATTAGAAGTTGTCAAATCAAAGCCTTTTAATCAATCCATGAAGTTGTTTAACTGTTCGTCTGAACCACGTAAGGAAGTGTAGACTACTTGTCAGAGTCAACCGACTCCAACATGTTAAGGTGAAGTGGATGCTCATCGAAGGCACTAGTTGACGGCTGCGCTATGTCATGGTGTAACAACAGAAGGCAAGGGTCAGGCAACAGATCATTTATTAAGGAAATCAACGCATATTTATATATTTGCATGTACATTACTATGGATATTTAAGCAAACAAACACAGTCTTCCGATTGGTTGTTTCTCACGTAAAGTTAATCTTTCATCTATTTGTGACTGTTTCTTGAATGTCAAATCCTCTATATGTTAACTGCATCCGCCTACGCAAAGTCTGCTGTGGTCGGTTTTGAATCAATCTTTGTTCACATTTTCTCACGACAAATCTTGGGAACGTAAATATTGGCGTAAATTACTGTCTACCAATTTGGCTAGTAGACGGCTCTCACCACAATGGGAGTCATTGAAATACGAATCAAGTGGCTGAATGATCAATAAGTTTGGTCTCGTAACCTGAAGGTTTCAGGTTTAATCCCTGGTGGGGTCGTGATTGTATGCTACTGAGGAGTTCTAAACCAGGATGAAACAACTGTCCAATGCTCCTAGCTATTCAATTATCGCTTTCGCTAATAATAATGGATCGTGAAGAAAAAATCTAATAAATGAAATTCGTCCGAATCCCATCATCTAAGTAATATTGATTAGCTTACTTTTTTATGTTCTTCACCAGTTAAACTTTCAAGTTGACCACATGCAAAAAAAGCCTTTGATAGTTCACCTTCAATTGTTGGAAATACAGGGCATCTAAAATTATTATTTGAATGCATAACAAAACGGAAATACATAAATATATGTGATGGAAAAGGAAAGATAACTAATGATGATATATAACGATAACTGCTTATAACTAATACCTGCATAGAGTGTAGCAACTTGAACTGTTGCACTACTGTGCAAAGCTTGATGTTGATAATCATTCAGTCAGTCAATATCTACAGAGACTAAAAGGTCAATAAAATCATTTCAAAAGTAGTACATAATCTCACAGTCATCTGATATAATTAATCCTTATATTACCAGATGAACATAAAGCCAAGGAAGTATTTACTATCTTAGGTATTTGCTGATGTGAAGCTAGTTAACCCATACAAAGCCGCATATCTCACTCGGACCGCAAGAAATGAAAAAACAATCAATTGTCACTATTATTACCATCAAGGAAGGTATTCCAATCCTGGTGGTGAGTACTGACGAAGAGTTTCAAACTAGAACGAGACGACCGTCCAGTACCCCACGCTGGATTTCCAATAGTTCTGTAACTGATATCAGCTCGTCATCAGTTCTGTAACCCATCAAATCCCTTTAAACCAACACTTGATAATTAGCTTGATGCTCACTAGCGACTGGCCCTATACATGAAGTCACCTGGAGTCCTAATAAGAAGTCGTAACCAGCGAGGTCCACCAAGTCAGTTAGGAGAACAGTCACTCGCCTGTGGCGTTGGCTGGCGGTTACGCTATATTCATATCGCGAATCGGCGGAAGTTGGAATTCATGAGCTGGCCATTAGGTCGTCTACCAGTGGTTGAAGGGTCTGAGAGCTGGCCTTGTAACCGGAAGGTCCTGGGTAGGTGCGTACAGTTGAGTACCGAACTGGCACTGGACAGCTGTCCAGTAGTTCTCCCAGGCTCTCCAATGGTTCTCTACTTGATGTCAACTCACCATCGAACATGTAACCAATCAGATCTCTGCAAACCAACGCTTGATAATTTTTATTATTCTCAAGCAAAAACACAAAACAGTCAACAGCCCAATTTCGGTCGAGTAGCATCAGCATAGATTTCATTGAGTTATATACATATATAAAATCAAGCCGGTTAAAAAGAATTCCCGCTTTTTTTATCTTCTTCATGCAACCGAAACTTCGTATTATCAGCAACATTTTATCTATGACGTTTGATTTTCTTAATTTTTTACGTAATAGATTCTGAGAAATTAGTTTTGTAACCTCCTTCCAATTCTCCCGTTCTTGTTTCCTACTAATTACATCACTCAAACATGTAAGTACCATTCAATCAGAGCTGTAGTTACTTACTAATCACTATAATGTATGGAACGAAATTAACTGAATGTTTAACGTAAAACTTTGCACAAAAGTCTATTCGTTCAACTTGTCACACTTTGAAAAAGCAAATACAAAAGTAGATGAAAGAAGTCACGTGATACTATTAGTGGATGAATAAAGATTTGTGAGAAAAGAAAAGAAATAGGTGAAGATTTTCGGAGTTTTAATGAAAACACTGAGTGAATACAATTATGTTATTGTGAGTAACTTTGCTCTATGTCATCAACAGTTTCCTGAGGAATTCAACCATGCGATCTACATCTCCCAAAGTGGCTTAGACTAGCAGTTGAAAACTCTATAGACGGATGCTACTTTTTAGTCAAACGAAAACATGGCACCAGTCAATGAAATCTACAACAGTTAGGTTAGAAACAATTGGTGACATGGCTCAAAATCGTTCTCAATGGCTGGTGCAGATGCATCCACTCCTTGTGACTCATGATTTCCAATGAAACTGTTTTGTTCTTCGTTATTACTATTCCTTTGTCTCACACCTCTGTTTACTGTCTATATTATTATGCATTTCTCCTACTTCTTCTCTTACTTTGTATGCTACATGGAATGTGGCGACTTGAACTGCCGCACATATGTGCAAAGTTCTATGTCGAAAACCGACCGACCGGCTACTTTTTAGTCTGATCAATGTGAAACATGAACATCTGATCGATGAAGTTAGTTAACTTACTCTGAGTAACACCTATCCACTACTATATCAACCGACTGAGCTTGTGAAGATTTACAACAGCATTGACTGCCTTAGATTTCTAATCTTACATCTTATGTCCAACCGAAACACTACCTACTCTGTGGTTTTAAAATAAATGAACAATTTTTCATTACAAAATTAAAAAATTCCAGTGTGTTTAAAAAAGCCAAAACAAGATTTTTCTGGACGTTTTGCTGTGTAAGCCACAGCTTCTTCAACAGAATTTTTCGGACGGACGACTAATATACCTGGCTTCACAGCAACATTTAAACTGATATATGCACATAGAAGTGGCCGGATGCGGGATCTTGTCCTTAAGGCTTCTGAAGATCAATGGACGACTGGAGAACACTAATCTTAGCATTGCTGCGAAGAATGTTCTTTCCAAAAAGGCTGAAATCCTTCTCACGAGGACATTGCAAGCTAATTACCTTTGAAATCCAGATTCACGTTAAGTATCACTTTTTGCTCCTGTGAACCTTTAATTTAACATTCTTGTCAAGGAATCTTGGTGGGTGTCCATTTTTGGATGAAAATTTCTTTCAGAAGATCCAGTTATGCTATCAGGGCGTCAGGACTGAAGATGTGTCGGATCCGAGTGGCAAGGGACTTAATCAGACTTCGTCTCCTCTCAATAAGTAACCAACTGTAGAAATGTTTAAGTTGACCGTTCTAAGTGGGTTTTCTGTGGTTCTTTCAAGTCGTCATGTTAGTTGCACATCAAGAAAGGGAATTTTGGATTCCCATTCCATTTACAGAGTGAATTTTATTGCCAGATGGCTAAAGTATTCAACAGCTACCATTTTACTGTAGGAAAAACAACGGATAGCCATTTTGTCTATGCTTTTTAACCAGCAGACATACTCGAAACATTAAGCTAATATACAACTATACTGACTTTTATCTAATTTATTTACTACAAAGAATGTTTAGACATGTAAATAAGACAGGGGAAATGCACAGGTAATCTACTACAACGATAACTAACCTCTGCATACCATAATATCCCCAACCTGAATACATCATTAGGATTGCACACTTTTTGCGTTTTAATCTTCCACCACTTCTAGCAGCAGCAGCAATTGTTGTTGTTGTTGTTGTTGTGACACACAAATCATCAGCTTTGACTTTAGGTGATGCGGCCATCTCAAGTTTGACTTCAGTCGATTCTAAGATAGACATTATAGTACGAAAAGCTTTCTTGAAAAAGTTGAAGGATTCACGCATAAAGACTCCGTTAACAACTCTTAATCTCTTAAACCAAGCTCTTTTTCTCGTTTTTCTTTGAAAATGAGGGCTTTCGCGTACTCTGCTTGCTGTCTTTTAATTTCGGGTCTTTTGTATATATAGTAACTTGACAATGAAAGGATTGTGTAGCCGGTAAGTAAAACACCAAATGCTACACTAGTAACAACAACACCGGCGTGAGCAATACTAAGTGCACGACTAAATTTGCTTCTCTGATAAGCCTTCTTTTGCATACTACGAGTACAAATATCCTCTGTGCCCGAGTATTATGATCGATATATTGTCAGTTACTACAGTTGGCAATTTCCCAACAAATTGATAAAATCTGTAAAAAGCAAAAGAGAAAACAAAATACTTGTACGATCTAAAGTTCAGTAGACACGTTAACAAGTACATATGAAAAACACCTTCAAAATCTAGACCGGCAATTTTGATGTCAATACTTCAGACAAGAAAATAATCCACAGTGTGAACGAATGGGATGAATAGTATCAAGATGGTTTAAACTTAATTTGGTTAAGTGCCATGTGAAAGATGACAAATGAAATACGTTTCTGAGCTTAACTTGTGTGCGACAATACAAAGTCATGTAGTCACCAATATGCTACAACTTTCACTGTTCTCAGGACGTCTGACTCAGTCTCTTCTTATCCTCAAAAGATGGTTAAAAATGACAAATAGAGCTCACTAGCTTCTCTAGGAATAACGGATGCATGGGCCTTATAAACTATAACCATAATAAAGCATGAAGCCAGATAACGTGCATCGGTCGGTCGGTCGGTTTTCGACGTAGAAGTTTGCACATATGTGCGGCAGCTCAAGTCGCCACACTCCCTGCATGTACCACACAAAGCAAGAGAAGAAAGTAGAAGAAATGCAAAATAGAGACAGTAAACAGAGGTGTGAGACAAAGGAACAGTAATAACGAAGAACAAAACAGTTTCATTGGAAATCATGAGTCACAAGGAGTGGATGCATCTGCGCCACTGAGAACGATTTTGAGCCATGTCACCAATTGTTTCCAACCATTGGCTTTTACCGTCCCGAGGACCCCAACCAGGAAGTCTACATCCTCCTACGTGGCTTAGACTAACTGTTGTGGATTTCATTGACTGGTGCCATGTTTTGGTTTGACCGCCACTAGCTCTTTTCCAGCCTGGCCCTACGTGATACTCACTGAAGTTCTACTCATTTACCGCAAACAATGGTGGGCGCGAAAGTTAGAGTTGTTAGCATACAGAACAGGTTGGCAATTCGCTTTTAATGAGACTATAATGGATGAGTATGAATCGGTATCATAGTAACATAAACAGTGCTCATGACGATTTTCAAAATTCTTTGACAGTAATTACTTCACTCGCAACTATTCAACTGTGCTAAGCACAAGTGGAGTAAGCCTTATGTCAACAGCGACTTCATTTTTAGTCCACAGAAGGCCAAATCCCTAAAATTCAAGTGTTAATTCACTTATCTGAAAATGAGGAACTTTTTCCAACAGCTATAATATTAGTTGTTAGTAAAATGAACCTGAACCAAGTCAAAAATTCTGGGGATAGACGAAAGCACCTTATGGTCACTATTAATTAACAAACGACCAGAACAAGGATATCTTGGGAGGGATTGAAGAGTATATTATCTGAGACCGAAGTGCCAAAGCATTCTGCACAGCACCTAAAATGTGTCTCCCTTTCGAAACTTAGTAATCAGAGCTGAAAAGAAAGTACTAACCCAGTTTACATGAGACGCATTATGACCTTTTAAAAAAGGCAGTTGTTTTATTACTCCAATGCTCGAATTCCTCTTGTACTAAGTCGTTACATTAGAAGCTTGTACTCCAACATAACACTTCAATAAAAAAGAATTCATACCTTTAAACCGGTTTACAACAGTCACATGTTCGGGGGTCTTGTGTTGTAGATTTCCAGAAACAAATATGTGGGAAGACGATGTACAGAACCACACAACCTCTCTTACATTCTCTTACACAGCCACCACCCAAACACCAAAATCCTGGCATATGAGAAGTCATGCTGCTGCTGCTGGATTCAACATAGAACTTGGCACCGAAGTGCAGCAGTTCGAGTTGCCACGTTCCAAATAGCACACAAAGGTAGACAGGAAAATGAGAAGTTATATACCTGCTTGAGGCAAAACGTAACTTATTAACCGATAATCCTGGTTGCCGAAACTTATTTCCGACACTGTATACTGATGTACATATCCTTTCTGCCTTTCGTACAACTAAATCTCCACAATTTTTGGAAGTATTGGTTTCCAAGACCTGTTTGTCCAAAACTACACAAGTTTCGTCACCTTGACGCCTAATTTCGAATAGGGAAAGTAATTTATTTTCATTATACCTCCCGAGGACCACTCAAATCTGGAAGGCTCTGTACATAAAAACTATATTCTTTAGATAATACGTAGTTTCATTAATCAGAAAGTGTTAATACTGAACCACAGAGGCTTAGTAAACTGTCAGATCATTTTCGTAACAACATCTTCTTACTAAAGATTGCTCTCAGGACATTTCACTCTTCAGCCATAAGTCTGAGATAGCCAAGATTAACCTTTGCAGTACAACGAAGAACTCTGAAAGCGTCCACCAGGGGAGTCGATATCACTATTTGACCACTCACTGACCAAAAAATGAGCCGAAATTCTTATGTCGAGCTATCTTCGTTTACGTAAATAACATCAAAAGCAGTTGGAGGAAGGTCATCAGTTCCTTTTACGTGAATAGTACGCAGTTTTCGACGTCACTTTACATTTCTGCATAATTTCGTCGAATTAGTTTCATGTGCATAACCCCATGCTGCATGACTGTCTGTAGACTAAGGACTAAAATTCTGACCCAAGGGAAATCATCCGACACAATTACCGTTAAAGGAAATGGGCCTCACTACACTTACATTTAAATATCCGTGTAAGATAAACTGTCAACCATAAAGGTGGTGAAACAACTCTGTAAATTCAGGAGAACCAGAATTATGTTTGTGGAGTCACATAAACCTATAAACAGAATTTATGGAGCTGCAGACTCGAATGTATTTGAAGAGACATACCATAACATTTGGAGGTACAGAATGCAGTTCCGAAGACCAAGATAAAGTTCCCTCTTAAATGAGAGATACAGAGGGTTTTACGTGCAACTCAGGAGCGAACCAATGAAATACAATTTGGCAGAAATGTAACACAATTTCCCCAAATACCCCTAACTAGCCCAAAGGGCGTCCAAATCACCCCGAAATTCCCCCATACACCTGAATTCTCCCCCCTGTAATTTTTCATTTGGGCTCTTACCTAATATGACAAAGAGGAAATAATAATACGACGAAGTAAAATAATGTTGGCAACCCTGAGTATGGTATCTACTGTTTAGTTACCAACGTATTGTTTCCTAAATAAATAATTTGGCGGCAGAGTAGTGTTGAAATTTTGGGGGAAATTCTTAGATTTTTCCTAAAAAGCCCGAAATTTCTTGGAATTTTCCCAGAAAATACTTAAATTTCCCCAAAATGTCCCCCAAAAAATTTCCATTTGGACTCCTCATTCACTAACATTATTTTCGTATTACCACAAGAATGCTTAAGATAACTGTTAATAGGATTAATTCACCATAATTAGAACCACATTTGTTGTAGAACAGACGAACTAAAAAATACAGTCTTATCGCACATGTATAAACACAAATTAACACCCCTAACGCCAGCACGACTTACGCAACATGAACACGCACGGGTGAAGGTTACGCACCACTATCCGACCTTTAGGCAGCTCTAGGTCACGTACGTGTTTTGTAGTTCCAATATCTAATGTAAAAGAAACAGATTTTCTTGACGTCACAGACTCATGGTAGAGAAAGTTCCTTACCTTTTGTATATTTTTCCATGATCATATCGTAAATTATGCGACAAGCGCTTAATTTACAACGACTGGAATAAGAACCATAGCGAACATCATCTTAACTACAGCAACCCTAAACGAAACTGCCTAATAAGCGGATTAATGACCTGGGGAAGTCAGTTGGATGAGCTCGTGATATAATGAGGGGAAAGCGGATGCAGCATACGAATTATGTAGCAAATTTCATCCAAATCTAGTAATTAACGAATGCTTAGACAACAGGTACACTGGAAGGGGGAAAACATGTAACCAACTGTCATCCCAGAGCTATATTCACAACATGGTTAATCAAACGGGTAGCTTCGTTAAACCTATTGATGGGGCCCACACAAATTCCACAGAAAGTTTCTAGAGTCAACTAAAAGAGGATCAGAGTGGTGAATGGGTTAAGGAACACGATGACTTACATCTGTCACAACGACGACAGTAACACTGAAGTATGCAAGCTTCAGGAGTTAACTCTTCAGTTATCTGGAGTGTGACCGAGACACTTTTCACTCTTGATTGCCAATAACGAAAATGACCCTTGTCACATGAAAACTGGATGCTTTTCCGTTTGTATCATCCCACTTTCATCTGAAGCCTTTCGGCCTTATCGAATCTCATCTGACGACATGAAGAAGATATATTCTTAAATGAACCTCAATGATAAAACTTCAGCGTGGTCTTAAACTTGACATAAGCATATTCGAAGAGGGGCAGTAAACAAATTGTCAGTGGTAGACTATCTATCTAGTGTCTTCATGCAGGAGTTGCCACAATTCCCAAACAACAAAAATCCATAGACGATTTTTCCAAAAATTAAAGCAAAGATTTCCGTGAATTATCTCACACAGTGTGATTCATGGAAGTGGAAAGTTTCGAAACCATGGAAGGGCTGTTGGACTGGAATAAGGGATCATCTCGAAGCTCTGTTTCTAGATAAAGGTTCGCAAGAGCGTACCAGAAGTCACTGTACACAACCCCCTCTTATATATCCTGTATACCAGCGAATTACCTGGGCTTTTTAAGTCTACTACAGTTCTCTACGCAAATGGCCTAAGAATAAGGGGAGAGCTTAAAGATGCCAACAGTAGGATGACGCTACGAACACATTCGACAGTCGGTAATATAGGTCTTACTAGAAAAGACTGGAGCAGACTCTGGGTTTTCTTTCATCAGCAAAAAGTCTCGACAGAAATTATCCCGCATGCTCAAGGTTACTGTACGCATATGGCATCTGCAGGTCATTCTCATCTGTATTAGTCGGGTATGTTGGCTTGCTGTTTGCTAACCGTTCGTTCACACACCAGTTTTAAGTTCATCTTGTTGTTATTCGCAAACTGTCTCGATGTGGATTGTTGCTTAATGCTACCTTTCACATCCTTTCGGTTTACGTTGAAATTATCTGTTTCCTATATTTGGAAAGTTTTCGCCATCAAGATAGTTCATTGATTTCATTGTAACCAATCCATACGTTGCTTTCATGCTCCGTTGCAGTGATCTAGTTATTTATCAGCTGTTAATTAAATAGTACTATGCAGCAGTTTTGGAAACTATGTATATGAACGTGTTTGGGCAGCAGAAGCTGTTGTTTCCAGTTCGTTTGTTGATTACCACTATCATTGCTAGTTCAGATGTTTACTTTATATCTAGAAATCTGCAAAAAAGAATATCTTTCACGTTGATGTTTATAGCAAGCAATAGTCTACGCGCCAGTCTGGTGAAAAAAGCACCAACAGCGTTGATATTAGTAAGGTTTTCGTAGAACATATTAAACCTAAAGAATTTAGAACCTGGGTTGAAGTTGAAAAACTTTGAATTTCTTCGAGAAGGTGATTATACCATAACTGCCTAATATCAGACTACAAGCACCTGGTATGTTGTGCCAGAAACCAAATTAAACAAGGTTGGACTACATTTAAAGTATGAAAATGTGGTGTTTTAATACATATTTTGGAAAAAAATAAACGGGAAACCGGTGCAAAACCTCCAAAGTGTAAGTGTTATCTGCTATTGTTAATGCTTCATTCACTAGATCCGTATATGTTAGATTTGCCTATAGTAAGGCCAATGTTAACAGCTATTCAATATCTTGCAAATGGTTTAGAAAGTGAATTACGTGCGAAGATATACTGAGTATACGAGTATATATATGTAAATTCACAAATCGTTCTTTGAGGACCTCACTTGCTTCTCCTTCTGCTGCTGTGGTTCGTCTTCTTTTTTCCTCTCACCACTTTAGCTTCTATGTGACTTTCTGAATGATAATAGAGAATGTAGATATTTGGTGACTTACAATGACAAAAGATCTGTAAACATTACTGGCTCCAAATCCTGTAACTGCCCCACGAATCACCTATTTCTTAAGAAATAATGAAAGTATCCTGATGGTTGCATTTATAATCTCAGTGACTCGCATGAAGGTAATTTCCTGCTACTAAATGCCTCAGTTCTCATTTTATATGGATTAGTTAGCCATTATTCTGGTTCCTAGTCGCGTATGGACTGAAAATTACCTGTCACCGTTCCAGTGCTTCTCTGTACGTTTAACTGAGCACATACTTCTGTGGCGACTCACTAGCAGTTAATACTGCTAGAAACATTGTTGTCAGTGAACCAACTGACGTTTTACAAAACAATTTTATCGCTTTATGAGTAACCTACTGTACCTTAGTAACAAGTAGAGCAACAGGCACACAGACAAAGAAGGCATAACACGAGCTGTGCGGAGAACGTTTATTCCACAAGAATCAAGCTTAAAAAAGGCGGGGTTCCAATCTTACATTCTAACAGTCTTCCTTGTCTTCGCTAGGGTTTAGACCTTGTAGTTGTTCTGTCTCTTGATCCAGATAGTTGACTTTCGAGTATCTTCCCTCAAGGAAAGAAAATGAAACATTGGCTAGCGTTTATTGAATATGTTTTGTTTTCATTACACCAATTCCTAGTAACACAACCCTCAAATTTGGCGCGCATTTTGGTAGAGTTTTTTGAATGGCGATGCTTTGTATTATATTGTGTACACTGCTTCCGCCTGTGTTAAGTGACCTTACAGGTATTATTACATTACCCTTTCTCATGTATATATTACTTGTGTAGGTGAATAATCGCAAATATGATTCCTCCGTGTGTATGTTATTTATCATACTGATAATGACTGAAAACTGGCGTCCCTCAAGTACGAAAACTGAGAATATGTTATTACAACTCCAGCAAGAATAACCTTTCAGACTGTGCTCTACAGTCGGTTATTTTGAGTTTCAGTAAGTCGTGAGGCTAACTATTTTTCCAGATGAAAACGCTGGCTGAATGCATATTGTTTGTTTCAGTCCAAATAATCGAATTTGTTGACACTACTAGACGAATAGATAGCAAAGTAGTGTTTTCTGTGGCTGTGAACCGTAGTCGCTTTGCTTCGGATTAATATAGCCTTTGTTTGTAGCCTTTTCCTAATGGTGTATTAAGACATCCAGAAATCAGAAGCATGCTGCCTCTGGTAGACGTTTTTCCTTTGTTAGTGACTTCGAATGGTGAATCACTGTAGGTGCTTTGGTGGTAGAATAAATACTGCTTTCGTGGAGATGCGAATATATTTGCTCTCTTTGGCGACAAAGCATTTTTTATCAAGAAAGTTCTCAGAATGTCCACTTTTACTTTGTAATTCAAAGATAACTTTAAGTTACTAAGATAGTAGCTTCAGAAGATAGCATTCTAATAATAATAATTTATATTTTCATGTAAACATAAATTTACATGAAAATGCATGCCATTTTCACAGGCACGATCAAGTATGGTATAATGACAAATAGTAGATTGTCTACAAGTTAATAATGTTTGAACAGCTAAATATTTGATATATATATAAATACACTCATTGTCTGACCCATGTCGTAACATTATTGAATTAAACAGTAGTCCTCCAGGTTGCGCGGGAAAATCGACTTCGTTTCGTTTTCAACCCGTAGTTGTAGGCATACGATAACCAACCAATATTGAGGTAAGTACAACGTTTACAAAGGATAGTAAGATTATCACTTTTTTAAAAAAATTCAAATTGTTGAATTATATAGTACAAGCAATCGGAACAGATTCTTATTATTGTTAATTTGTAAATCTTCCACGAAGGTTTCCATCGAAGTTGAGCGACAACCACGTGCTTGAACGCTCTTTCAGGAAGAGGAGAAAATCCTGCACAGCTACAAAGTGGTATAAAATGCAATCATGAATAATGCATTATTGGAAGTATATTTACAAGAAAAATACAAGAATAAGCTATACAGCACTTGATATGAAAGTGCACATTTGCAATGTATGATGCTAACCATATTGGTCTTACCGTAGAAAACTATGACGTTTTCTATGAAAATAAAGTTATTCTCAAACATGAGTGCTGTTGTTATGTTTTTTTATTTTATTTGTTTAACCATCAGAGCAACCGAACTTTATGCGAGATAAGAGTGTGAATGAGAAAAAATAAAAAAGAGTAAATTTCAGCTTTACTAAAGGCCTAGGAAGTTGAGATAAAATAGAGTATAATAGTAATTAGGTAGAAGGATTATCGTGAAGTATATATGTGATATTTTAGGGAGAAGTGGCTAGAAGGATTAGAACCTGTTGAATATGGTGACCTGTAGGATGTCTGGCGAACTTGTGTATGGCCCATGGGATAGCATCTCGACAAGAAACTGAGCAGGCTTGTAGATGTTAGGAGCGAAAGCATTATTTTTTACAAGCTGAAACTGTACAGTCATTATTGTCTTAGTTCGTTTTTTTTTAAATTTCTTTATAAAGTCATTTTTTATACTTTCAGTATCTAAACTCATGTTTAATTCTCGAGCTGCCAAAATAATGCATGTTGCTGTCCTACAGATCGGAGCGATTCACATTTGTGACCACTACCAAATCTGCTGATCAGTATGCGCCACCCTCCCTCTGCAGCATCTATCTTAAAGCAGCGTCGGTGCGTCGGTGGCACAGTGGTTAGGACTCTCACCGACCATGCACATGGTCCGGGGTTCGATCCCCTGCCGGCGCACACCCGATATCTATGGTATGCCTGAATTTGGGCAACCGATATCCATGCTGAAAATTCCATACTTGTACTGAAAATACGGTGTGGAATCAAGCTGTAAATAAAAAATAAAAAAATAAAAATATGTAGATTTACATCAGACGTCATAGAACTAGGCAGCGTATGTTGATTTTATGATGGCTATAATAATGAATATCATGTGTCCAATGCCCAAATGTTCTCAAGCTGGATGTTGATCGTGTCACGTTAAGCAGGCTGCTTAAAATTTGAGCTGCCAAAAGGCTCCACCTCTCTACTGTATATATTTTCTCTCGTTTGGTACGGTTTAATCGATTAAGATATGACCTCAATCAGTATTATATACTCTGGTGTGTATTCTAAACTTTTACAAGCTTCTGATTCTCAGTTTTCCACCAAACTTGTGTAAAGGCCTGATTGTGTGTAGCAGCGTGTTCCGACACATGAGATAACCGTTCTTCAGTTATATCCTTGGGTCTCAAAATGTACTCATGAACATCTTAAAATTGGCTTTTAACCAGACGTCGGGGATTTCTTAAAGGAGACAAAGCAGATATATCATAATGGAATGGTTTGTGCTTCAGCTCAGAGAACGTTGTGTCACAGGACATACTGTCACTTAATATTCTGCTTGAAAATATTGTACAAAGGCAAAATATCATGCAATAAACTCTTCTTAAAATTCCGTACATTTTATAAATACTGTCCAGATTAAAGATGTTATCATCATATATGAAACAATTTGTAGCTGGTTAAATCACAGTTCTCGCATGCTTTGCTTGATAGTCTTATAAGTAATGAGTGTACAGTAGAAGCACCTACTTTGATTTGCATGCATGACTCATTTTCGCTCCGCCAACTTGCAGTGTACACTTAAAACTGATATGCTGTGTGACAAGTTCTGAAAAACACGCTGCTTTTATTATTAAAGCAAGAGAAACAAGCCAAGTAGGATGAAGTGGAGCAAGTAAAGTTTGTTAGTTCTTATTTGACGCATAAAATCACAAGTAATTTATTATCCACAGAGCAGATATGCATGTACTGAAGATTTTGATCGTAAAGATGATGGATTTTAATTAATCCCAGACGATTCATCGCCATATTAGAAATAATTAAAGGCTTTTCCTTAGCTCATTACCAAATAGACATTCTGTCTGATAATTTCATTTCATATTAACAGAATTATGATTCAACTATCACTCCTAAGTTTCTACACTTACCTGTACGATATAAAGCGACAGTCTTTTGGCGTTTATCAGTATGCAGAGGTGCGGCTGGCGAAATAGGATGATTTAGGGGTATCGAACATCATAGTATTGTCCTTTTAACCTGGTGTAACCTACTTAGTTTTCACAATGTGATATCGCGAAGAAATGGACACAAAATCCAACTGATGACTAAAATAACAATCTAATAGTTCTACATTAAATCTCCACTTCATCAAATGGGCTTAAAATGCATTGGTCCAAATTTACACATTACAACAGCCCACAGTAAGGTGACGTGGTGAAGAAGTCCAGAAGAAGTGGTAATTAAGAGTACATTAAACATTTCATTAATTTACAGAAAACAGTTCCAGTGGGGGATATTAGCGTTAGTTTGATCAATTTATATTTTCTCTGACTTCTGATTCCAGCGCCTCCACATACCTAAAAGAATCAGATGTAAGGACCCGTACAATATGGTGTTATAAATGATAATTTTACGTATTGGTATGAAGATGTGTAAACGGATCTTATATGCTCCCAGTATAAGAGGATTATACACAAATTTCAGGACAACCTTCGAAGATTCTCTACTATTAAGGCATTGTTCTCTCATCAAGATTACATGCAGTCCGGGCAGGCAAAAGCCGGACTAATTCCACACCAATCAAGTTTCTTTTGAAGAAGGTGTCACCGACAAATTGAGTAATGCCTAGTGAAAAATGTCTTTGTGAATCCTTCAGAAATTATATCTGCACATTTGGAAAACTAAAGCCATTAAATAAAGGGTACATAAAATTCAACTTTATACAGTTATGCACAGCGTTAACACAGATCAATGCTTAAAATATCGTAAGATCCACAGACCTTGTGTTTATGAGGATAATACTACCGTATAGTGCAGTTTAGGCATTCAGTCGTTATACCATATCTGCACCGGTTATTTGAAAGGAAATTTTTGGAAAAATTCACTTCCATTACTAGTGACAAAGAATACTGGAACACAGACACTAGGTATACGGTGCCAGTGGAATGTCATGACAGACAGTAGATTGACAGTAATAGAGCTTACTGGATTTAGTTCTCATAACGAACACAATTCGTGTGCATGATAATGACATACACTGAATTGATGTATCACGTGATACACTAATGCAAATTAATGAGGAGTTACCTTTTTCAACGCACTTGCAACAATCATGGGAAACACCTACATCTGTTGGCCTAGAAGTCAGCTAAGCACACCACTAATAACTTTGAAGTATTTTTTATATATATATACACACACAACCCACACTAAACTGCACCAATCAATGAAAAACATATATGTAATCCACTCATAGAAAACCTTTCAACTTGCGATAATTCCTGTCCAAACACATACGGTGAAAAATGCATCTGCATCATGACTTCTGTTCTCATAAAAAGTTGTTTTGACATTCATAGATCATTTCCATGTACTACAAACATTCAACTATCAGAAATTACTGGGTTTCACAAGAAAATAGGCAGTATTGATATCCTAAGACATGCGAAGTCCTAATTGAGTGATACTGTACCAAAATGTATAGCTTCTATATAAAGTTGACCATTTACGTGGACGACATTACCCTCCCTTATTCTGCCCACTAATCAGTGTTTCAATACAATTCGCCTTATGCACAAACCATTGTAACTAATATGCTAAGAGTGTGCCGTAGTCACATGACATGACATGGACACCAACGAAACATGTTGGAAAGTGAGAGTCCCCATCAATCCAGAAAAAATATAACGCAATTCTATCGAAATTTAAGCAACTCTAAACAACAGGAACCCAAACCGAAACGACCTATGAACGCACAAATGACCTTGTCAAGCACCAATCAGAAGGCTCAAAAAAATGACAATAGTCGTCCCAGGCAGCACTAAGCGCTGGATAATAGGCAATAATACACACGCCCTGCGCTTAAGGGTCGCCTTAATATGTCCTTTCTGGAGGTTGGTGTCATATATCCCCAAAACCTATTGCTGGAAAAAAGTCATCTGATCGGTTGCTCAAGATCATTTGTGCTGTCGTAGGTCGTTTCGTTTTGGGTTCCTATTGTTTAGAGTTGCTGAAATTTATTCACTTTAGATTTCTCTAACCAAAACGTCAACCCCATTCCTATTGGGCTCCTAAACAATATGTGCGGTTTTCGAAGTGTAGCGCTACAACTCAGTAAGTGACACGTTTCCACTAAATTAGTAGCAGGTCTCATCTTAAATATGGTTTAATTTGTGTCCGTGGCGTCGTTTAGTAAAGTTAATAATTGAAAACAAGATGCAGGGCGGTCTGCATATGTATTGGTCGTGGGTTTTAAGCTATTTGAAGGTTCGTACATCTATACAAACCATATGGGGATATCACTTGATAATTCTTGCGTAATATGTTTACAGTATTAATATGAGTGTCACTTAGTTTTTAACAAGCACAGGGTGATTTTCCACCACATTGCCTTGATTCTTTAAGGGAGATATTCTCAGTGTAAGTACTTATTGATCTCGCCCAATCCTACAAATATGGGGAAAATCGTGTTAAAAAGGGGACAGAAATGGGACATTCCATTGAGAAAATAAAGGGACAAAATTCGGAAATGCGACGATTGTCCCCTTTTTCCCAGACGCCGCACATTGTCCCCATTTTTGACACGTTGTCCCCCTTTTTTACGTCATGGTTTCCCCTTAATCAACAGAATGTCCCCCTTTTATTCGCATATTATCTTCTTAATCAGCAGAATGTCTTCCCTTTACTCGCATATTTTCCCATTATTCAGCAGCATTCCCCCCTTTTACTCGCATCATTTTCCCTTATTCTCTTTACTTCAAACAACTTACAATTCAAATAAAGGTTGGTTATGAAAATAAATATATTTAATTTGTGTATCGGTTAAAGGAAAAAAAGTTAACAACAATTCGGAAAATGAATTCTTTAGGATTAATGAACATTTAGAGTTACAAATGATACACACAAGTTTGGATTTTGTAGTAGATAGTGGGTGGGTGGTGATTTACAAGCAGAACCTTTCATTCTCTGACTTTATAAAATGCAATTAACTTCCATAATAAACTTATGTTATGAAATTCCAACAGAACTATTTTAAAAGCGTAGGAGTTTCTAAAGTTCTCAATCTCGGTTGGAATATCGGGAATTAGTAGTGCGAAATCTCACTTATCAGGCCACACCCAGATATCTCTCATTAGCAGAGTGCGCATGTAGTTCTCTATTCATTTCTTTATTTTTTCACTGTGGTAAGCCTACTTCTGTCACTCGTATAGAGATGGGCTCATACTGTAAGGAATTAAGTGTTTCTGTAAAAATTTTTGAGGCATTTTGCTTTTGTCTATAAACGTAAATAGGAAAATTTAGGTGTAGATTAGGTGTAAAACTAATAAGTCATGACAGATTTCTTCATTAAATGACGGACTATATCTACAGAGTATGAAAAAGGGTGATTTGTTCTGTTGCTTATGTGGCTTAAACATTCGACTTAAAGTTACTGGGTTTAGGGTTCAAATCCCACTCCATCTACCTCAGCTTAGACGACCGGATAATATCATTAGCCCTCACACAATAAATGTAGCTCATAGCCCGGTACATGAAAAGTCTGTTCCGGGTACCTGATTTAGCATTGAGTGTTATCAAAAAAGTCTTTTCAAATTCTGAATCAAGGGTTGGCGAAGTCCTTGGAAGTTGTAGCCTTAGAGATAATGCTGCCTAAGTGTACTACTCAACAAAGGTACAGGAAGTATTCCAGAATATATGGTCAGCTCCAGACATACTTTTAGTTGATGTACTCACCCGTATGTTAATAATGATTTTCCAGTGTTTACAACAAAAAATGTGTACCTATACGTCTGGAAGTTTTCCCCGTCTCACAGACATTGTAAATGTGTTCCTACTGCTTATTCTAGTGGATGTAAATTCTGAGCTTGAAGAGCATCTTAATGAATCAGGTTAAAAATGTACTACCGGCTCCTTAAAACTGTCCTTCGAGCTGTAACTTGTGTTGTACTTAGATTTCTACAACACTGGTAAGACCTCTAGAGTTAGAGCTCATATTTACGCTTTGCTCCAGATATGGTGATAAAACACGTTGCTATTCTCCCTTATTGATTCTACTTTTTGAGGCTGCTAAACATGGGTATTTGGATATTGTCTTTCCAGTCTTAGATATCTGCACAACAAAAAGTTTTCGATCAAAAGATGTTTTCAAATTGAATTGCTTTTCTTACTTTAGCATGTGCTCTTATAACGTATGGCATAAAATATAAACCACTGCAATTCCATGCAAATTTCCGTGCTGAAAATTCAGTCATTCGATTTAGTTAGTAGAAGTATATAGTTACACTAACTGACATAGCTGTCCTCTGTCTGTCTGTTTTCGACATAGAACTTTGCACTGATGTTCAGCAGTTCAAGTCGCCGCACTACATGTAGCACATAAAGCAAGAGAAGAAAGTAGAAAAAATGCAAGGGAGAAACAGTAGTAGCTGTCCTACGTAAGATTCTATGTCACAAATCATAGGTAATACTCTGAAGGTGACAGTAGTCGACTACTCATAACTGTCATGTACTTTACTATCAATTCTCATGTCAATTTGATATCTATGAGAAATTAGAGCCAAGGAATTGTCACGAATTGTCTTGGAAAGGAAATCATTAAAGTGTCTGATGCAGTGATGAATAGGGCGTTCGTAAAAGACGGTACTTTTCCACTTTAAGAAGATTTTATTGCATCCATTTTGAGTTACTCCAGTAAAGAAAATTTATATAATGTAGTTTTCTGAGCGCTAAATCAAAGTGGGGAAAAATATCCTGGTTGCGTTTTTCACCTTTTGTTTGCATATTATTGTTTTGGAATTAGCCTGAACCTAGTGATTAGTTCACACAGAGTCTCGGTGTAACTTACCGACCAGTTACCAAGTACATATCACGTTCAAATAAATTACTGTTCCTTCCCTATATTGTTAAGACTAATTATCGTGCTTTTGACGATCACATTTAACTCACCATATCTGACGTATGAATATTGGTCATCCTGTTGTTTTACTTAATAGTATAGTCGTCACATACTTAGATTCGTCTATACCAATTCCTAATTTTGGGTATGGGAATATGTAGAACACGGAAATACTATATGGATTGCTAAAGTCTGATTGGTATACCTTTTTCCAAAACAAGAATACAGTAGTTGGCGGTTCTGCGATTATCGAACTTCAGTTTTAATAGTAAAGAATTACTGAACAAAACTTTTATCAGTCGTTTAATCCAGTCCTGCAAAGCGATCACCTTTTGTTTTTGTAGTTAGTTCATCTGATTGTTTGGAATGGAATTCGCCAAACTTTTGTGTAAGTTGTTAATCTCAATTGTTATAAATCTATAACTGACTTGTCTATGCATTCATTTTTCAACCCCCATAGGTCTCAAAAACAAGTTCTTCTGCATCTACTAAGGCGTGGATAGTCAAGTAATATCAGTAACCACCATTCAATACGTTAGAGATTCTGTATAACGTTTACATTTGCATGTAGTTGGTGAGTTTCATTCGTTTACGCATGACTTTTGTGTGCTGTGATAAAAGTTATAACACTTATTTTGTCTGATGACTGTAGCTATCAAAGCTGTGTGCTTTCAAAAGCGAAACTTAATATCTTACTTGATTTAAAGTAGACAGATGACATAGACCTGTTTCGTGAGAAGACTGACAAGGTGAATAGTTTACTGGACACTCAGTGATAATCTGCGGATGTTTGAGATAGATATCTTACTACTACATTTTAAATTATTCCCTCATGACTCGTCTGTATCAGTACCCTACCAGATCGTATGGGGTGAAATAATTGAACATACCAACCAAGTTGCGACAGCCGTGGTTGATGGAAGTAATCGCTTCTTGATTACATTTCTTATGCTGCACAGAGCTATTTATGGAAGTGCGAACAGGTTGACTGTACTTTATTTGACTTTGGAACCTCAGGTGGGAAACTGCAAATCGTTTGGTTAAAAATCAGCAACAGTGGTACTGATTCATGTTTTATTATTTGCATCCTATCGTATCAGTTGCATCTTATCTTTTTTTTACTAAATTTGTCTTCCCATTTTTCGTACTGCATGGCCTTCGAATGTATTATTCCTAATTAATTTTGCCGTCTTTCCCTACTTTCTAATTCATTTGAGTTATGGAAACTTCAGGAATGCTATGCAATTATGTCAGGTATTATGGGAATTCTGTCTGCCTACTCAATTTTAGTTTTTCTGTCCAAACACATTTTTGATTCATGAAAAAGGTAAAAGACAATTTAGCGAAGAAAATTTTCATTATCGACGAAATCATCTTCAGAGGCTGTACAATCGTATTTATATTTACCAAAAACGTATAGTAGTCCATTATTGAGTAATAGGGGTGAGTGGGGTGACAACTGATATAATTATTCAGAAGTGGCTTCAAAAATAAAACAAAAAATTACATAGTAGTCAACAACACAAAGGAAGAAAGGATTAGAAATTTGATAAGGTTAAAATTGTTATTGACTGAGAAGAAAGATAGTTGAGTGTCTATTTAACAAGTGTGAAGAAGGTGGGAAAATGTACTAAAGAAATATATTAGATTGATAATAATAAATTAATTATTAAATAATAAAAAACTACGGGAATAAGTAAAGAATAGGTTAAGATCGTGGTAGAATAAGAGACTGGACAAACGTTTTCTGTATACAGAGTTCTTCCTTTATGTCTTTGAGTATTACACAATTTTTTGATTTCTAATTTTACTTTTGAAGCCACTTCTGAGTAATTGCATCGATTATGTCACCTCTCTGTTACTCACTAATGGACTACTATACGTTTCTGGAAAACATAAATAGTGTTGTAGAGTCTCTGAAGATGATTTCGTCGATAAAATTTCCTTCGCTGAATTGCCTTATATTTTCTACATTTTTTATGATTTGAAGTTTAGAAAGGTAGTAAAAAGTATATCATAGTACCGTGGTTTAAATAAATCCATCTATTGGTGTTGCATTAAATTAAGCAGAGTGAAAATAAAACATTTCAGAATAATAACAGTGTGTGATAACAAATTAATAGAGCTGGCACTCGAATTTCAACCAATGGATCGCAGGTTCGAACCCCGCCCTCCCTATCGAGGTTTAGGCAGTTAGGTAGTATGGCTAGTCTCCACTCACACAATTGACGTAGCTCATTGTCAACTGCGTAGAATTGCAAGTTGTTGATGAGATAACATTTCATTTTGAGTGCTTCGGCAGATGATCAATGGTATAATGCTCACTCACCGCGCATATAGTTCAGAGTTCGATTCCCGGCTGACACACTCCTAAACCTGGCCTAGCCAGTAGTAAGCCCCGGTAGAGAACCTCAAGCGTGAAGCCCTATGATCCACTAGAAATGTTAAAGGAGTGAAAAAAACCCTATAAATTAAATATGGGCTTTATGTACATGATGCTTACTATATCTATATAATGTAATGTAATTTAATTTCTTAACTGCTTTTTATCCACTGTGCATTTATTATTATTATTTTTTGTTCCCGATAACTAAATTATTCAAGAAAAGTAAGAAAAGAGTCTGCAATTATGTCAGATGATAGTGATGCATTTGCTAGTGCAGATGAAAGTTTGCATACTAGCACCACTACCAATACTACTACTACTAATACTAATACTAGTAGTATAAAAGAAAGTCATCCAGCAAAAGAAGAATCTTCGTCAACTATCTCAAAGGCGGCGAATACAAGTGACCGTGATAATGACTCTGGTCAAATAGAAGAAGCAACTATATCAAGAACAACTGAGCATACATCGTCACCATTGGTTAAAGAATCGAATTCAGGGGAATTAAAAAAGAAAAAAAAGGTGAAACAGAAAAAGTTGAAATCTGCTACTCCTAAAAAACGTGAAAAAGTAAGATAATATTTTTGTTCATGTGTAACTTTTACTTCATTAACATGTGTGTAAAAGTAAAACTTGTGCACTGTCATAGTGTATGTAGTTTCATATTAATTTTCAAGTGTTAGTTCGTAAGGCTTTGATTGGTTTTAGGTTCGATCATCATGGATTGATATCAGTTAAAGAACCACTGAAAACCGAGGAGTACTGAATATTTAGTTTTTAATACTGTTTAAATATTTTATTATAGCTTGATTCCACACAGTATTTTGGCACAAGTATGAAATTTTCAGCATGTGATATCGGTAGCCCAAATTTAGCGGGCCGACCATAGATATCAGGTGTGCGTCGGCGGGGGATCGAACCTCGGACCATGTGCATGGTCGGCAAGAGTCCTAACCGCTGTGCCACCGACGCTGTTTTGTAGTCATCAGTACCCATCCATGACTCCAGCGGAGATCGAACTCAGGACTTTCATGTTACAAAGAGAGCTCTTCTACTACCAAGCCACTGGGATAGAATTCAGTGGCCTACCACTTCTAGCTTTTGCCAATTCACAGTACATAGTGCAGCGAGTATTTGTCCTCAAACTCATCTTAGTGTATCCCACTGGTCATGACTTCTGACTGGAACTCTAGACAACTCCGTCCTGTAGTCAGTCACTTGTGAGCATTGAAATAATTTTCAATTGTCGTTTTCCATGAACCATATTCCTGACCATTAGTAAAACATGGTAATGTTTTCGTTGAAAAATGAGATAGCCTTGCGTTGGATTTTTAACAGTCCTCTTTCTTGTTGTTGTTAGACAGTTGGAGGCAATCGACAGGAAGTTTGTACCTAGGTTTCGTTCAAGGTGTATCTGAAGTCTCAGAGGAACTCTTGTCCTTTGACTGATGGAATTCAAAGGACTAAATACATGACACTAGCTACTAACTAGTGTCCAATCAAAGTCCTCTTTCTGTGAAAAATGTTCACATTGACCACAAACATTTACTATTTGGTTGCGTATTTTGAAATATATATATATATATATATATATATATATAATGCATTCCACAAAGATTGAAGTAGTAGCTATTGTTCTTATATCATATCAGTCCATCACAACTTCTCAAATCACAAATATTTTGTTTCGTAAAAACTTAGGTAAAAGAAGCTTCACTAAATATCGACTCAAAGTCAACGGTTAAAGAAGATATTCTTTCTGTTTCCGAAATTGTTGGAAGTGAAGATAAAAAAATCGATTCCGAAGCTGTATTATCACCTTCCTCTGAAAAAATTGACACACCAGCTGAGATCGTTAAATCTGAGACAAAGGAATTGATAAATGCTGTGAATGATGTAATTGTTCCACAGGGTGATGAACCATGCGAGCAGATGTTTGACTCCAACAATCCCAATGAAGGAGTCAGCAGTTTACCCGAAGAAATGACACCTAAATCCGCAGATACTTCAGGGGATTCAAAACAATCCACATCCTCTATGGAAATTCATTCTGTTATAGACAAACTATCAAAAGTTGAACCTATCCCAGAATTAGATTTCATCGCATCAACTGCTACAAATATTGCCCGTGGTCTAGGTGATGGATTGAGTTCACTTGTTGGCGTATTAGGTGATGTTATCCAATTGAATCCATCAGATACCAGCAGTGTGAATGAAGAAACTCTTAAGAGAAGAGCTGAAAGACAAACTGAAGAACAAATGGAAAGAAAAGCAATCTCAGATGCATGGAATAATGTTTGGGGTACATCATGGACTAATGATGATGATGTTGATGACGATGAAAATGGTAATCAAAATGATGGTTGGGAAGTAGACAGTCCAGTGGAATCAGAAGATATATCTAAATCAAAGTTGGATAACAATATCCCTGAGAAAACTAACATTCAAGAAGGTGTAAATCAAGGAGTTGATGCCTCACATAAGGAACCAAAGTGTCATGATAATGTAGTGTCACAACAGAAATCTGAGAGTAATAATTTCTCATGGGGTTGGAGTGGTCTTTCATCATTCAGTCAACAGCTTACTTCTTCGTTACAAGCAACTGTAAGTATTACTGATTAATTTCAGATTGAATTTTACTTTTATTTAGATTACGGGTTTTTGTAGAGATTTGGATCAATTTCAATAGGGATTTCGTAATGAACCAGTATCAGTCATGGATATCATTGAAAACCAGGGAAAACTGGAAGGCTGTTTCGTCCTATTTTGGGACTGTTTATCAGTACACACTCGCGACCTCATGAGGGATCGAACCCAGGAAATTCAGGTTACGAGACCAAATGCGTTGACCATTCAGCCACTTGGATCGGAACCATTGGAAACCTGGGAGTACTGGACAGCTGTTTCGTCCTAGTTTGAGATTCTTCAGCAGTGCTCACCGGGTTCGAACCCAGAACCTTCTGGTTACAAGGCGAGCTAGCTTGTAGACCATTAAGCCACTGGGACTCGATCCAATGGCCAGTCCATGAATTCTAACTTCTGCCAATGCATGGCATAGCGCGACTACTTCGCAATGTCTTCTTCGATGAGTTACTGCCTCACCTTCAACCTGTTATTTAGTTGATAGACAGACAAGATAAATTGTGAATCATCACTGACTAACAACGATCAATAGACATATAGCAAACCATATCAGATTGGCAAACAAAACAGATATCGTGTGACTACATATCAAAACATCTCCATCCTTAATTATCCTTTTGTTTTAGAATGGTAAGTCCGATTGTGATATGGTATCCAAGAGCTAAGTATTTAGACTTACTGATACAAGGGATTGTTATATAATACTTTAGATAGTTATTCAGTATATTTGTATTGTTTTTCATTCATTCTTGTAGAGTTTAAATTTAGTCCAAGGCAGTGTTGATGTCCTCGAATTGATAGGACGTAAAACAATGTCTGTCCTAGCTGAAAATGATCCTGGTTTTGAGTATACAAAGAAATTTTTACGTCCATCAAATTCATCAGATAATCGTCCAAATCTTTCTAAGGTATGGCGTTGTTTTTCTTTTTCTGTTTGAAAAAAAAATTTATTTTACAATTTTTCATATTTCTGTTATTATAGAATATCAGAAAAAAAATATGCAAGTATTTGCTACAGTCTTACTTCTTGCTGTGTTTTGTTTTAGGCGCTGAGTTATTTTGATCGCACAGTGTTTAATGTTGATTCTCTCCATTTAACCAAATTACTTTTTAATACTTTTACTCTATCCCACCCAATCACATGTGGTTATTTGATAGTTAATAGGATCACTAAATATCCCAAATAGTTGCAGACATATTTATGGATAGTTGGGAATTTATTGCTCTAAGAACGTTTAATCCTTCTGATAGGTTATAGTGTAGACGAAAATCAATAAACTGGCTGAAGAAGTGGGCACCGAAGACAGGACTCCAGGTGAACATAGAGAAGACAGAGGTGATGCACATAACCAACCAACAGCAACAACGTGCGCCAATCACCTTCAACAGATGTTACTTCCTTCACTTATCTAGGAAGCATGGTTTCAACCGCAGGCAGTTGGAACAGATGAAAATGTCAAAGGTAGAATCGGAAGGGCAAGATACACTTTCATCAGCCTGAAACCAGTTTGGAAATCTGCACTCCACCTCAGCGTAAAGAACAAGATTCGGATTTTCAACACCAATGTGAAGTCAGTTAGTGCTTCTATACGGGTCAGAAACTTGACCAGCTTGTCGCAAAAAGGATTTTCAACAGGTTTCAGACTTTTATCAACAGCTGCCTTCGCTCCATGCTCAAGATCAAATGGCCAGAAAGAAAAAGTAACAAGAAACTGGGAACAAACCAACCAAGAGCCGACTGCTCAAAAATATGTAGGAGAAAATGGAGATGGATTGGGAACACGTTGAGGAGGCCGTCGAATGACATCGTGCCCAATGCAGGTCATAGCTTGAGTGGAATCTGAATGAGAAGCGACGCGTGGTGGGTCGGCGGTGCGAGGGTGACATGGAGGAGATCGTGCGAGGAGGAGATGAAAGATTATGGGCAATCGTAGGCCCAGCTAAGGAGGACAGTAGAAAACAGAACAAAGTGGATATGTGTTGTTGAAGCCCTATGTTCCACTAGGAACCCAAAGGAATAATAATAATAACATACTGTGGATGACACATCCACTGTGTTGAAATTTGAAGATATCCCTAAGTTCTTCACAGTTATAAACTTGGTAGTAGATGGGACCGAATTCACTTTTGAGTTAGAAAATGAACGGAATGAGTTAGCTTTGCTGAACTGTAGATAAGATTCTAGGGAACCGACAGATTCTAAAAGGTACTTAGACTTTAATTCATCCCAATCAAAATTGCTAAAGATAGGACTAGTTGAATGTATATACAATCTGACCAGCAGCCTAACTAGTTAGTAAGTCAGAATATTTAAATAATGAAATCAAACAAATAAAGAAAATATCAATAGTGAATACACCTACCCACCAGAATTTATTCGAAAATGTTTGAAGACCCATAAGAAAAGTAAAAGTAGTAATGAAAATAATTTAATTAGTAAGGAATTAAAAGTCTCGATAGTACTGTCATATAAAGAAGAACCATCAGTGATCCCATATATGATTTGTGTTAAGGTTGGTATTGAGGTGTCATTTCAACCAATCAGTTCATTCACAGACTAACTGTGTTGGTTTAAGCACCCGATAGATCCAATTAGAAAACATAATATTTTTTTATTCCTTCACGTTCCCAGTGGAACATAGGGCTTCAAGCTAGAGGCTTGAAGTTTCGGTAGCAGTGACATTTATTTTTAGGAGATGGGGTTGCTAGCCCAATGCCCAACCTTCCCTCTTTACCAGTCTTATTACTGGCTTAGCGAGGTAAAGGAGTGCGTCAGTGGCCGGGGATCGAACCCTGGACCACCTGCGTGGTCGGCTAGTATCCTAACCGCTGTGCCACCGACGCACCGATAGATCCAATTAGGAAACATAATATAATTTAGTAAATAACATGCACTAACTGTTAGGTCATTTCCATAGGTCAAACTGGTAGACTCGGATCGATTAGATTATCGGAACTGTAGCAATTCAGATAGGCCTAGAATGATTGACCCTGCTGATTTAAATAACCAATAAAACAGCTCGGTCATTGCAATGGATTCACTTGCATGTAATCACACAATACATGTTTCCAACCCTAATGTATATGTGATATAAGAATAAAACTTGTGCAGAGTGTGACAGAGTATAATTCCATTATGGTTAAATTTTATTTTGATAAAGTCTTGCAGTGTTATGCAGTAATATTTACTGATGACCACGTTTCGAGCACAAATTACTGCCACTCATAATCATATCAAGGCACTACTCACACAACTTTCTAACTTTGTTTATATAATTCCATTATTTTCCATCGCCTGATTTGATTGGTAGTAATATTTTCCATATTTCCGTTATGAGTAATGAGTCATTCCTATTGCACGTGTTGGGTGTAGACTCGATGAACAAGCATTCAGTAACCAATCTCTCTGTCCACCTACTAATATTACTTTGTAGAATTTTAACCCTCTCCCACTCTTTTGTGTGTTAATGCATGCAGTGCAATTCCTGAGCTTTTTTCTAAACCATTCTTGACCCCGAGAAAATAATTAATTTAGATAAACTGCTGAGAGTGCAGCTATGCCTGACTTCCACAGTACGTAGAGAAATGTAAACATAAAATAAATAATGATAGCAGTGATAGTAATAATAATAATAATAGTAATATTAATGACGACATGCATGTCAAACATGCTCAAGATCATGACGACAACAACAATAATCAGGAGTAGTAATTCCATACAAGGAAGGAACCTCGGAAACCTTACGCAGAATTCTTAACAAGGCAGGAATAAAAGTGGCTGTCATTCAAACCAACCACAAACTCAATTAGAAACAAGCTTTGTCAGTTAAAGGATCCTACCAGTGGAGCCAACAAAATAAAACAATTTGGTTTATCTAATACCCTGCCTGAGATGACTGTCAGGTCAAATACATAGGTCAAACTAGTAGAACAGGTGCAGTCACACTAGCCAAACATAAAAACCTAGTAAAATCTAGATTAGTTGACCCTATTAAGATAAGAAATCTAGAAAATAGTTCAGCTATTGCACTCACTACATGCAATTACACACAACCATACAGTAGGATGGATGGGGTAGGATGATAGTTTTAAAATCTAATGTCACAGGGTGGAGGGAGAGGTTGATAACAAAAGCTTTGTTTATCGAATCAACTACAAATACATGTAATAGGAATGGTTCAACACCTGTCCACCCAGTTATCTGGAAAATTCTACTACCCTTACGACGACAAATAGGAGAGAACAAAGAAAACTATAAAACTCAAGTTTCGAAGTCGTGTGACTATAATTCATATGATTATGAACAATAAATTTTGTTCGAAACGTCATCCAGTAAATAATACTGTTACACACTGTGTGTGATATATCTAATAAACAAACTAACATGGAACTCGCATTTAATTTATGGCTTATATGAAATAGAATATACAAAAAAAATCCAAAATTTGGTCATATTGTAATTATTAGCGTAATCCATACATACTGTCAATTTATAGTGAAGCCATAGCTCATTATTTTAGGCATTTGTTTTACCTTAGTAAATCATGTGTTAAAACTGTACTAAAAATATCGTAATATAGACAGCTAGGTGATATTGTAAGCCTTTAAACAAAAGGTGTGGCATACTGTTAATTTCTTTTTATCCATATACACAGCTAACTAAACTGTAGGAAATACGACCTCAAGTTACTGTCTAATAGTTTAATTTGTCACGTTTCACATATCCACTTATCAAACAGCCAGGTAAAACGGTAGACTGAAAGTAAACGGCATGTTGTTGTTCAGTTATTTAAAAGACATAAGCATGCTGTTTATCTTGAGTCGAGAGGACAGTAAATTAAACAGGAATTACGAAGACAGTGTCAGACCGACCATACTCTCTTCATTGTTCATTAAAAATTGCTTTGAAATCAATCAAATGATCAAATCAGCAAACTTCAACCACGAAATATCGAAATTGTCAGTGAACGCATGGAGTAATTTCAAGGGGATTGTGATGTATTTTTAAACTATCAGTACATTTAGTTGAAACAGTTGTTTTCAGTGTTCTCTGATATCTTTGATATTTGACCGGAAATACTTTATTTTCAGTCCAGAAGAGTTTATTAACACACTTACTTCATAACGATTTTTTTCTCTTATTCCTTTACGTTCTCAGTGGAACATAGGGCTTCAAGCTAGAGGCTTGAAGTTTCTGTAGCAGTGGTGCTTATTTTTTACGGGATGGAATTGCTAGCCTCATGCCCAACCTTCCCTCCTTGCTAGTCTTAATGCTGGCTTAGCGAGATAAGGCAGTGTGTTGGCCGGGGATGGAACCCCGGATCACATGCGTGGTCGGCAAGCATTCTACAACTGCCACCGACGCACCTTCATAACGATAATACTTTATAACAGAGGCTTTATTTGATATTATTTATTCACAGTTTTTAATTTTCATTGGTATATCTCATTGGACCATCACCAACAAGCGACAATCACTATCAACGGAATAAATTTGGAAGTGGCCACTTATCTGCACAGCAGCGTTTCAACTACAGGCGACACCACAGATCAGAATGCCAAAATCAAAATCGAAAAGGCCAAAGTTTGGAAATCTACACTCGGCCGGCGTAAACAACAAAACTCGGATTTTCAACACCGATGTTAAGTCAGTCGATTCTTCTATGTGGATCAGGAACTTGGCGTGCACATCACATAAAGGCAGTTCCAATATACCACTGAAGTCTTTTATCAACAGCTGCCTGGGCTGGTAGGTCAGGAAGAATTAGCGACAAGAAACTAGGGACGAAATAATCAAGAACCTACTGCTCAGCAAATATGCAGAAGGAAATGAAGATGAGTTGGGTATACGTTGATGAGATCGTTGAGTGAGATCGTGCAGTTGAATGGAAGCCGAATAGAAAACAATAATTCGGACATAGGTTGTCGAGGAACTTAGCCCGAAGTTCCTATTGTAACGAAGACGCTCTGAACCGATAATTACTATGTACTTGTCTCGGCTTCAACTCCAAAACACCAGTACTCGATTGAAAGTTATATTGTTTGGCAATTAAAGTAAAGATAATTACAAGTCTATAAACAAATGTTTTATACAAAATTATAGTGTACTTTTATTCGTATTCTTTCGTCTTCTTCGAACTTGTACACGATCGAACCATTCGCGCCTTCGAGTTGCCCCCCAATGGTTACCAAGGTCAATGAACCAACGTTCAATGTTCATATTCCTTGACATAGGTCCTAGAATGTCATGAATCAGATCGTGCGAGTAGGAGATGAGAGACTATGGGCAGTTGTGAGACCAGCTGAGGGCAATAATAACATACTATCTGGACCTTATTTTGAACAGATGCCTCGTTATCATCACAATTAAATAATAACTCGAAATTACTTGTTTTAACTGATGATGGATAGCAGTGGGATCCAAGAGACTGGGTAACGTTTTGCCAATTGAATCGATCGGTGCTGAGTTCACTTCTCGATGGGAAGACTATCATTCACTGGGGGTGGGGAACAGGAATACCTGCATGATGAATCCCAAGTAGGACGAAACGCACCTCTTGGATTCCACTACGAATCATCACTAAAACAAGTAATTTATTTATAATATCATTTACTTATTTTTATGTACATGTATATATCTTTTTCATTACAGATATTACGAGAAGCCTATGAATTGCATTCCTCTTCAGAATATACTAATAACAAGACTTCTAAAGATTCTAAAGGCGATTTCACCTATCAACTTGAATATCATCGAGCATTGTTACACTTGGAGTCATTAGAATTAGTCAGTGAACAAGCAAATAATCAATTAAATATTCGTTTAGACTCTTACATGTCATCGTCTTCCTCTAATCAAACTTATAATGATTTACTCGAGAAAATATGGAATTATTTAAATTTAGATGAAAATGATGACAGTGATGCTCATCATGAGGATGGTGATGATAGTGATAACGGAAGTGGCAGCCAAAATTCTGAGGATAACGATAAGTCCTATGCATCTGTTATTAAAAAATTAAATCAGAAACGCCCCTCCAAAGACAAAGTGAAGGATGATATATGTCAACAACTTTCTAAGCATTTAAACAAGTCAACTATTGAATTATGGTGTAAAATTATTAAAATATCTTATTATTTAAATAGGATTTATTCAAATGAACGATTTATTAAGGTAAGTTCAGTTCAGTTTATTTTTTAAAATTTTAACTTATTAAAAATGCCCATTAAAATTTTCAAAAGAATGAATACTGAACAAAGAATACTCTTTTCGATAACTTCATCATCAGGCTCTACAGTTATATGTATGCATTATAGTTAGTGAATGAATTAGTGTTATGAACAACATTAGTGTTGTTTAAATAACATCAAATCAATAATATTGATAGATTACAGCTGAATAGCATCAACATAAAATAAGCTGAATGTCAGAAGAATTAGGAAAGATAATATTACGAATTCATGAGTTTATAGTCTCTACTGAAGGCCGGCCCAGGGCAGTAGTAGGGGCTGGACTTGTTTCTTTTGAACACAGAGCACTGGTTGTTTGAGGCGAACTGCAATAGCCTCTGCTGTTTGGAGCATGCTGTGCTTCGACGATTTTGGTAATTTGTTAGGCACCCGGTATAATATAGAGAAGGATTCTTCAATGCTGCCTGGCTTTGTGACCGGTTTGCACCAGATGGTTTAATACCGAGCTGTTAATAGTTTTAACTACACTTTTACTTAGCCAAAGTGGGAAATGTTCTCGAGCACAGAAAATCAAGTTCCTAGAGCAACGACTGATAACACTCGCTTCAGAAACGCAGTTGAATTGGTAGATACAATTTGAAGTGGCTAGTCTAGGTACTTCATCTTTCAGTGGAGGAATCACCATCGGTTGTGTAGAGAATAAGACGTTTAGTTCGCCAGCATTAAAAATTCTTTGAACTGATTTTCTCAATTTCTTCGTAATTATCTCGCTTGGTATATCGCCCATGAATTGTAGTCGTATATAAAGTGGCTTCTTGTTTACAGATAGAGAGTAGTCCTTTTCCGCTTTCTTTGTCATGTGTTTCTTGATAAATTTGTCGGGATAGCCATTTTCGATCAAAGTATCATATACACTGCTTAATTCATCTTCAATTACTTCTTCTGAGCATATAGCTTTAACTCTGTGGCTGAAGGTCTTCACTAAATTTCTTTTGTACTTGAGAGGAACGAAGCTGTGAAAATGTGTTTATTATCCTGTCCATGTACATTTTCTATGCAAATTTCTTCTTATGCTACCATCTGGTTTTCTTGTAAGTAGGACATCCAGGAAGGCTATTTATTTATTTTCAAGAATTGTTTTGTAGGGATTCTATTTGTTTCAGATTAGACCATGGATTGATATCAGTTAGAAAAGCATTGATAACCAGTAAGGAGTACTGAACAGCTGTTTCCTCCGCACCCTCTGGGTTTTGAACCCAGGACCTTCCGGTTACAAGGAAAGCTCGTATATCATTCAGCCACTGGGACCTGATTTAATGGCAGCTAGCCCATGAATTCTGACGCCAATCAATTCGTGATTTCAGTTCGACCACCAACCAACATCATCGGTGGGAACTCCATCCTCACTCCCGACTGGATGAATCCCACTGGTCACGACTTCTCACTTGAAGGTCTTGGGTTCGAAATCCAGTGGGTGTGTACTGCCAATGAGTCCCAAACTAGGACGGAGAAAACAGCTGTCCAGTACTCCTTACTGGTTTTCAATGGTTCTCTAACGGATATTTTTTTAACAACTACAATTTTTGCAGAATAAAGTGGTACCATCTTTTATTTCGTTGCCTTCTCGTCAGCTGCTTACAGGGCAAAGACATTATTAAATATATCTACAAAACAATTTTAACATACTTGCACAGAGTTCACTTTAAACAAAAACCAATCAATATATATATATATACAGTAATAATATATACATATATATATGTAATATTAAACACTGTTCCGAACAATAATAATTATACACAATGGAAACTTTTCTTCATTACACATTCAGATGAAAGAGAGATAAAAATATCCAGTTACCAGGGCAAAGAAAGACTGGTAACTGTTTCTTTCTGAACGCACAAATCAAGTTTCAGGCGCTTGATAGAAATGTCTTCAGCAAACTTGAGGAGAATTGAACTCTTTTGCCTATTGATAATTTTGAACTACTTTTCGACGTCCACCTCATGATCCGTGTCAAGGAGATGCCTGGCGATGGATGGCACTGTTTGAAGCATTTGTTCCCTTTGGGCATAAGCTTTTTGGTACATGTTCAGAAAATCGTATGTATGTATACCCTCCTTTTTGTTCTTTCAATGTAACTGCTCCCACAGATACATGTAAATTTGTATATACAGTTGGAGTTAACATGAGAAGGATATCTATCGATTTTTGATTGTACCAAAGGAGAGCAAGTTGTTCGATAGACGGGGACGAGCTTAGCTGCAGGATTGGCTCTGGCTAGTGATGTACTCAGCCTTGTGTTACTATGCATATATTGATCGATTGATTTTTGTTTAAAAATGAACTCTGTGCAAGTATGCTAAAATTGTTTTGTAGATATATTTATTAATGTCTTTGACCTGTAAGCAGCTGACGAGAAGGCAACGAAATGAAAGATGGTACCACTTTATTCTGCAAAAACTGTAGTTCTTGCTTTGTTCAAATTCATTAAGGGGAATAAATGTATGAAAAAGGAGTTACTAACACTAGTGTAGCATAGTTCCCCTTTACATCTCAGTTTTAGATGACTTAGAACTTAGATGATAGGTAGAACAAAAAGCCATATTGAACACTGATCAATGATAGTTTTCTTTTAAATTGCTTTTTTAATATTTAGAAAGAAAAATGCCTATCACAAAATTTGCCTGCCTATAAATGGTATTTTATCTTAGGGGACTTTGTATTACGTATTTGTCTAAAGGAGGCATATAATAATTTCTAATATTACATTTAGTTGTTTCAAGGATGTTTTTCATCGATGCTTTTACACACACAGCTGGAATTATTATTGTATCGTTTGCTATACTCTGCGGGGAAACACCTTGAGATTACTTTTATCCCTATCTGTAAACGATTGCGTATAAATATATTACCTAATCTTGAAAATATCAGAATTTCTAATCGATATTCTAGCCCTACCTGTAAATGGCATGTTGTCATGTCAGCTTATTGTAGCAAGGTGAGGGTTTTTTGCCGTCGGGATAATGCGCCAAATAAAAGTAATTTCTAATAAAATTGTGTCATATATTATCAAGAGTGTTGGGGGAAACTTTGAGTAACTTAGGGTGGGATGTCTGACTGTGGTTCACTCTTTACTTGTTTGTTAGTTGCAATAGTTTATGTTTTAGCTTGACTGTGTTAAAATTTTGCGACTATGAAAAGAAAGGAATGATTGGAGAGTGGTATTTTCCACTTAAATGGTTTATTCTTTCTAAAAGCTGTTCCTTCACCTTGGCATTGATCCATTTTATGGAGACCTCATCAGTTTCACTGATCGCTAAGAATTTTCATGGTTATCTAAGGGGAAGTGCTGGTCACTTTGAGTCCAGGATGAGTGATCTTAAAACATAACCCTGCCTCCCTACAAAAATACACCAGTTTGAATGATCATCAGTAGGAAATGAGTAAAGATGAAGCATTTCTGATGTGCGTCGGTGGCACAGCGGTTAGGACTCTCGCCGACCATGCACATGGTCCTGGGTTCGATCCCCTACCGACGCACACCTGATATCTATGGTCGGCCTGCAAAATTTAGGCTACCGATATCATATGCTGAAAATTCCATACTTGTACCAAAAATACTGTGTAGAATCAAGCTATAATCAAAAATTAAGGGGCACTATCATGAAATAATGAAGATGTACTTTCAATATTGTTAAACTCTGGAACCAGCTGCTAACATATGAAACTGTCAAACAATCTTTACTGCCGCAGATTAACAAGATGAATTCATTGAAACTCGCGAATTTAGAGCTATGCTTTAACATCAGTTGTAAGGATAAAATTGATTGCAAACGATTAGGTTTATGACATACTTTTGTAACAGCAGAAGATAATAAAACTGGTAACGGACATTTTGTTGCAGGAAAACACATTATATCTATGCACTTTTAACCACATTACAGGTCGGCTAGGTTAGCGGATACTAAACTGTTCTCACTGATTGGCGATTAGTCCAAGGCTAAACAATGGAACAAAAGTTGTCCAATGAAATTATTTCGTGTCTACAACGTAAACTAGATCCAGATTTGAGGAATAAACACTTCTACCTCTGCAACCGTTATCTTAAAATGTGGATTTCAGTTTTTGACGGCTCCCTATCAGTCTGCATCTACATATATTACTTATAAATATTGTCATTAGCACACGCTAAATCTTAACAACGACGCTTATTGTAGCGTTGCTTGATAAACATAAGAAGGATCCATTTCTTAGATATTTCATGTCATATTATAAGTTTTTAAAATGTTTGTGAGGTATTTATTTGGACAGTTTCGGAGTTCCTGCTATTTTGTGACAGTAAATGTTACTTCATAGTCATATCTAGACTTCCGACTTCAGAGTTAAGCATACATGATTACATCTTCATGATTTTATACTGCTGCTATACGCAGCATGTTGCATCAGGAGTGCTTCATTATTACTTGTGTCGAAGTGGCGATCATGCGGACTGGGGGCTATTTAGTCTATGCCGTATCATCATCGCTTATTGCAAACGGCTTAACAGATATTCCAGCAGCTTAGAAAAAACTCTGCGATACACCTTTAAAATAGACATATGTAACATGTAACATAGAGTGTGTCAACCTAAACTGCTGCACTTCTGTACTAAGTTCTATTCTAGAACTGGAGCAGTCAAATGTGAATCTGTTGGTTAATTGTTTAATCCTCTATGTTTTGATATATAAATCTAGAAAGGTAGCTGTTTTGTAGCTATAAATCTCTAAAAGTTTCCAATTGCCCTATGCTATTATCGTCAAAACATCTTTCCAGTGTTTTTGAAGAGAGAAGAATTCATGATACTGATAAAGACACCAACTAACCATTAGTGTTTTCTATGAATAGATCATTGGGTAGAATGATTTGTTTTATTCCTTTACATTCCCAGTGGAACATTGGGGGCTTCAAGCTAGGGGCTTGAAGTTTCGGTAGCAGTGGTGTTTATTTTTACGGAGTGATGTTGTTAGCCTCATGCTCGACCTTCCTTCTTTACCAGTCTTATAACTGGTTTAGCGAGGTAAAGGTGTGCGTCGGTGGCCGGGGATCGAACCCCGAACCACCAGCGTGGTCGGTGAGCATTCTACCGTTGTGCCACCGACGCACAATGATGATCAGGTCGTTTTTGCATTTCGATATGAAGACAAATAACATCTCAAACTTTATTTAGCCTAGAACTAAATAAGTTGGGGTGGTCGGTTGTCGTTAGAATCCGGATGAAAGCTTGTCAGGTTCAGTTTTACTTTCGTGCAAATGAGATTGACTGATCATTGACAGAAGAATGCTACTCTTCTAAAGGTTAGCTATGAAGTTGTTACAGTTAATTTAATTTAATTTTGGATTTTCCCGTCGATTGATTCAACCTGAGACCGAGCACTTCGGTCCAATCAATCGACAGGAAAATCCAAAATTCAATTAAATAATGTATATGACCCGTTGCACAAAAGGTGGCTCTCGTGACCCAATTGGTCTAGTGGATAATGCTTTGGAGTTTGAAACTATGGGCACTGGGTTCGAGCCTCGGTGGGGACATCATCACTCACTGTGGAATGCAGGAACATCCAGGTGATGAGTCCCAAATAGGACGAAACGCGCATCCTGGATTCCACTGCTAGTCACCATCCACCAATTAAGTTGTCACAGTTATTTTAAAAAAGTACTTGATGATGATTAAAATCTAAGGTAAATAAATATGAAAATGTAGATTGCAGCATTTGAGAATGATTTGACAAATTGTCATCTCTAGTATTTGGAAATGAAATGACATTTTACGAGAAAGAGCTTTCGCTTTTCTTTCCTATATGCTAATGAAATGTGTGTAAATAATTTAAGGGATGTCTAATAAAGACATCTCGCTGGAATTAGAAGAATATTAATTAATTAATAATAACGCCTTGATATATCATGTTGTCATTGTTTCATTTAATTTCAGACTACAACTGATGTATGGAATACCTGTGATATTGACAAACTTGGCGAGAATTCAATTGAAGTAAGTTCACCCTTCCACGCACTCACACGCCTATGTATATTCTTTTATTTGTCTGGTTGTAAGCTATACATCTGTAATAATGGAATATATTATTGTATTATTATTATTATGGTTGCTCCCTTGGTTTCCGAGTGGAACATAAGGACTTCAATAGCACTTTTGTTTTATTTCCTGCTCTCTTTAGCTAGCCCCACGATTGCTCATAGTATCTCATCTCCTCCTCATACGATCTCCTCTATGTCACCTTCGGATGTCCCACTCGTTGTTTTCTATGAGGGTTCTATTCGACGGTCTACATTACGCGCGATATCATTCGATGGTCTCCTCACGGTGTGCCCACTTAATCTGCATTTTCCCCTACATATTTGATGAGCTGTAGGTTGTTGATTGGTTTGCTCCGAGTTTCTTGTTGCTATTTCTTCCTGGCTTGCCATCTGATCTTCACTATGGAGCGCAGGCAGTTGTTGACAAAAGACTTCAGTGGTCTATTGGAAACGCTTTATGTGACGTGCACGCCAAGTTTCTGATCCACATAGAAGAATCGACTGACTTAACATTGTTGTTGAAAATCCGAATTTTGTTGTTTATGCTGGCTGAGTGTGGAATATTTCCAAACTGATTTCAGATTGATAAAGGTCTGTCTCGCCTTTTCGATCCTACCTGGTTTCAACACCTTCATCCGTGCTGTCACCTGTAGTTGAAACGATTCTGTTTAGATAAGTGAAGGAAATGGCTTCTTTCAATCTTTTTCCATTGATGGTATTTGGTGCCGGTTGTTGTTGTTGGCTGGTTATCTTCATCACCTTCGTCTTCTCTATATTCATTCACCTGGAGTCTTGCCTTCGTTGCCTGTCTCTTCTGTCAGGTTTTGTTGGTTTTCGCCTGTAAGTCTGAGTTTGTCTGACATTTAACATTAATGATCTGCGAAATCCAGATCTCCTAGAGGCTTCTTATCAGTCCAACGTATTCCTATCTTCCCGCCCCTCACAATCTCCCACATAATCCAGTCCACCACAATTAAGAATACCATCGATGACAATAGTCGGCCTTATATTATTCCTGTCTTTACTTCAAAGGCTTTGCTGTGTTCTCTGTTGTGGATCACTTGACATGTGGCATTGCCATATAGCTGTTGAATGAAGTTAAAGTACTTTCCAAATTACTTCGCTGCCGGAAGGCCTTCTCAAAGTCGATGAAGTTCATTTAAGGGTTTAACTAACATTCTATGCTTAATTTGATAATGATGCATAGAGTTACAATTTGACCAGCATATAATTTACTTTTCCTGAATCCAACTCATTCTGGTTGGCGGAGTTCTGAATCCAGTGCATCCCTTATTCTCTCCAGCATGACGTGCATAGACAACAACGTGATTCCGCACCAGTTTTTGTGGAGGCCATCAGGTAATATGATCTCACTCTATTGTTCAAGGTCAAGAACGGCGGACTGAGTTCAAACCAAAAGCCTATTGGTTAAATGTTATATTAAGTAAATACACCTTGTTCTGATTGGTAAATGTGCTTACACAACTGTCTGTTGAAGGCATGTTGTCATTACACAGCCTATTGTGGTGTAGCAAAGTGAGGGTTTTTATCTCGATGAAATTTCATCTGCGAAATTTCGAGTGTGAAGGGAACTGTAGACTGCTTTAATGGCATGGTAGCCGCCTGGTCTGACTGCGGCATACTCTTTACGTGTTTTTCGGTTGCAAGTGTTTATATTTCAATTGAACAAATGTGTTGAAACATTGTTACCATAAGACGAAAGGAATGATTGAGGAGGGGTGTGTGTGTGTGAAGAAAGAAGAACTAATGTGTACAATAAATGTGTCTTTGTGAGGAGTTGAATTAAAGCCCAGTTGATTCATCTTGAATTGTAGTCTCTCCTAAGAGCACCAGTCTTTTTTTTTTTTTAAAATTTAACCGTAATCCACTAGCTCACAGAATAGTATCAGAATCTGCATCCAGAATGTTGATCATGGCTGGCAGAGAATTCACTTTCTGAGAAGTATCAAGTCCTTGTGAAGGCTGTGAATCTGAAGTTATATGAGAGATTATTTCAGTTGGAAAATATGGATACACCCTTCCCCATCTCCTCCTCTACCGTAAGAAGACATTTGACACGATCTACAAGTGTAAACATGGTGTTTTCCTCATGAGAGCACTAACATGCTAACAGAAAAGTATAGCTGAATACCTTCAGTGAAATGTATTCTACACTTTCTATGATTCTAGTTGCAATGTTTGTATCTTTCTGGGAAAAGTAGTGAAAGGTTACATTTAGTCAGTAAGACGGCTCTACGAGGGACAAGAAATAAAGGACAATGTACTAATATTTACTGATATCCAGTAAATAATACTGTTACACTGTGTGATACATCTAATAAACAAATTAATATGGAATTACTTACTACCACAGTGCCCAAGTTTTACACATATATTAATATGACTTATGGTCTTCCTGTACGAAGACTTATCAATAGACTCATTGGTAAAATGCTCGCTAACCACGCAAGTGCTCCAGCGTTCGATTCCTGGACGAAACACTTCCAAACCTTACGTAAGTTACAAGCAGAGGGAATGGTGGAGGTTACGCTGCAGGGCTAGTAATCCCACTCCGTAAAATACAACACCGATACCACTGAAACTTTGAAAGCTTGAGGCTTGAAGTCCTATGCTCCACCTGGAACGCAAAGGATTAGAAAAAATGTCGCATAAAAATGAACCTGAACTTCAAAGTTTGGTGTATTAGTTTAAATCAATATTCCATAAATCCTGACTAGTCTTTTCCTCAATATCCAGTGCATAAGCATAAATGTTAGAACTGAAAATAAGCCCGAAAAAAATATCACGTTTTTAATATACATATGACTATAACGTTGTTCAAACTCGTGACTAAGGTATTATATAATTAGTGTCACATGATCTTGTTAGCTTTTAAGTTTGTGACATTCCTCATTTATTTAATTCATCAACACTCACTGCGGAATGCACGTACTTCCGGATGACGAATCCCAAATAGGACGAAATGCGCATGCTAGATTCCACTGCCAGTCACCATCCACCAATTAATTCCTCATTTATGTCTATAACGATCCATATAGTGTGTAGTATAGTGATTTTTCTGTCAATATCAAATGATTTATGTATATATAGTTCTATTCATGAATTTCGACAAAACAATAAGAAGACGTAATGCACCTATATTGTGTGCGTCAGTGGCACAGAGGTTATGACGCTCGCTGACTATGCACATAGTCCGGCGTTCGTTCTCCGGTCGACACACTCCTTTAACTCGCTAAGCCAGAAATAAAGCTGGTAAAGAGGGAAGGTTGGGCATGAGGCTAGAAACCCCATCCTGTAAAATAATCACCACTGCTACAGAAACTTCAAGCCTCTAGCTTGAGGCCCTATGTTCCACTGGGTACATGAAGGAATAAAAAGCACGCATCTATATCGTAGGATGCATTTGCGCAACACACATTTCGAACAATCTGATCACACACACGTACCTGTCGTAGGAATTTGTATGAGAAAGTAATAATAAACAGTGTTGAGGGATGACAGAATAGACATAGGTCAAAGAAGAATGAATATATATTTGAAGGATAATACTACGAGCTCGTTTTATTTCGTGAATTCTCCTTCAACTGCGTACATCCTAAACAAGCAAAATTAAATTATAAGTTACAAAATGTTTGAACATGATTTTTCACAGTGACTTCGAGTTATAGATAGAAAAGTATAAGCAACAGAATTCCAAAAAATGATGTTTGACTAGACAAATTATTCAGTGTTAAAACACTCACTATTCATAGTATAATTAGACAAGAACGATGTAGAGGACGTAGACTTCAGATTTCACTTGGAAACGACAATGGACTAGAGACAAAATAAAAGATCGAACAACAGAGTGAATGCATACATATATTATAAATGGAGAGTTCATGAGGGTGGGAGTAAATAGTAAAGTAAAATTATGATATAGAAAAAAAAATTAGATAGATTTAGAAACTTAATAGTGAGTTCAACTCAGTAAGCGAAAATCAAATCAAATTTCCCGGCGCTGTATGCTGGTTAACTCAGTCAAAAGTGGGTAAGTATCCTGTATATGTCAACTGCAACTGCATATACGGATTTACTTGCACTTGTACCAGCAACTACATCGGAAGTACTGGGTGGAGAAAGTTTACTAGATTTTCTGAACATATCCCTGAAAATCTCTGTATGAAAGGCAGCAAAGTGTTCTCAAGTGCAACTGCTAGACACTGAACTGATACCAGACATACAATGCAAATTGATTAGGCTTCCAAAATACAGAATATACACATTTGATCATAGGGAATAAAAAGACAGTTGCAGCGAGGATAATTTTCTTTTCGATAAAGTCATCAACTAGGCTGTGTATTTATAATAAATGGGTAGGAAAGTTCCAGAATAATTTCTGATCAAGGATCAGATTAATAGAATTACAACTAGGAATTAAAATGCCATAATATACAGGGGGACGGATAAATCTCAAACAAAGTAGCGCCATAACTACTGAGAAGATTGAAATATTGTGCAATTGGGGGTTAGAAATGTAAAAATAGCAAAAATAGACAGGATGTTTGAATAAAAAAATCTAGTGGGATCATAACTAATGTGACGAATAATTGTTTATGCAATTAGGCATTAAATATGTAGAAATAATAAAATGACAAAATAGACAGGAAGTTCGGATATGAAAATGTGGTGGTGTAAATAGAGATTAAGAAAAACTTAAAAATAACATGAATAAACAGGAAGTTTGGATAAGAAAGGCAATGGGATAGTCACTATTAGAAGAATTACCTGTTAATGATGGCCATGGCAGGGACAAGGGTTGAACGTATTTCTTTTGGATACATAGCGTGGATTTGAGCATTTGGATAGCTAGTGCGTCAGCTATGCCCAGATGTCTTAATTTTACTCCCTTTGATAGGTTTGATGAAATCTCTTATATTATTTTGAAGAATTTTTCAAATGGCGCTAAATATCCTGAATTAACCAGATATTCTGTCACTGAACTATATACGCGTTTGCGTTCTCCTTTTACTAGCCAGGCTGGATAGTGTTCACCAGCGTGTTTTTCAGGTTGGTGCATGGTACGGCCAATGTACTCAGTTCCATAAGGGCAAGTATGCTGGTATATGCACGTTGAAGTGGCCCAATGCGACAGCTTGTCTTTCGCGTTCTGGCTGAACAGTTTCTTGAAGGAAAACTTTGGTCGTAGGCTTGCGTCGAAGTATGTCTTTCTCAGAGTTATGTACAACTACTCATCCCGATCAATCAGTAGTATATAGTTTTTAAAAAAGATTCTTTTTCGAGAAAGAATATTTTAGAGATGAGTATGCATTAACACACACCCACACACCCACACACACACTAATGTAAAATATTTGTATGTTATTTCGCTTTTTTTCCTGTTTTTGTTTTAGGAGATTTACTTCCAGTCAATTTCGTCATTGGCACAATTCACTTCAGCCTATTTAGAATATTTACATAAATTCTCTGAATGTATTCTAGTGAAAGTGCATAAAACTGATACAGATTTTGTGGAATTATCACAAATTTTAGCATGGTAAGTCAATTTTCACGTTTATATTTATTGATTTATTTAATTAGTTACACCTTTCTTTGTGATAAAAAATCAGACCATCCTAAAGTTTTTCGACCAAGTTAAACTTTAAGCACCACTAACTAACTGCCAATGGAGTGCGACCGCACCAGTGACCTTGAAACCCTCACTGAGCAAGTTAGTGAAATCCGGCAAATAATGTTGGCATCATCAGTAAAATGTGTTAATAGAGGTGTTATATTACTAAATTGGATATCTGGCAAGTTTCAGCTTAGGTTTGGGAAAGATTAACTTACGCTTTAAGCCAAGGACATGTTAGGGTTAGGTTAACCTAACAAAGGCGACATTAGGTTTGGTTCGAGTTAGATTACAGTTAGTTCAGGGATATTTTCACGTTAGGGTTAGGTTCAGGAAAGATTAGGGTTATTGGTAGGGTTAAAAGACCTAAATAATTACATGCATAGAATGTGGTTAAATTACTCTGTTGATATTAGAATAGTACTTGTGCACTGTGGTACGGTATAATTCCATTGTGAGTAAAATTTATTTTGATAAAGTGTCAGGGTGTTATACAGTATTATTAACTGATGACGCCGTTTCGAGCACAATTTATTGCTCAGTAAATATTACTGTGTAACACTATGAAACTTTATCAAAATAATTTCTACTCACAATGGAATTATATACTCTGTTGATACTCCAACCTAAAACTGAGCTATTTTTATCACATGTGAGAGGAAGGTATCCTCTGTAACACTTTTATACAGTTTTTATGCATTATTTCATAAATATATGTATTCCATACACAAAAATGCCTCCTTCACATGATTGGTGCGTTCGAGGTCATTCGCTGATTGGTAGTTATTGGTGCTTAAAGTTTAACTTTGCCGGTTTTTCTGAATGTCAAGTGCACTTTAATTATCAGTTTGCATCAGGGTTTCATCGGTGAAATGCTGTCGTTGACCACGCGCGTGGTGTGGGTTCGATTCCCAGCCGACACACTCCTAGACGTCTCCTAAGTTTACTAGCGGACTGTAAGCTTGGAAAAGATGGGCGGTCGGAAGTGAGGCAAGCAACTTCATCCAATAAAAAAAACCAGCATGGGAAAAATCCCCATTTAGACACTTAGAAGACAAAAGGATTGAGCTTCATTTGTGGGCAGAAGACGAACCCGTAAGGCAAGATAAATATTAATGAGGGTGCAATCAGGTGGGTTCATCATTGTGTAATGGTAGAAGACAAGGGCCAGGCAACGGGTCGTTTATTGAGAAAATCAACCCAGAGTGTCCTAGTCAAGGCACTCCTAAACCTCGTTTAGCCCAACATCAAGTCAAGGAAAGAGGGAAGCTTAAGAATGAGATTGGGAATCTTATCTCATAAAAACAACACAAGACCTACTCAGACTACAAAGATTAGAAAAACCTGAAGTTCTATGTCCCGTTCGGAACTCAAAAAGATTGAAACTCTAGTTCACACACTTATTCTCCTTTATGAATTTGAATAAAGCAAGAACAACAGTTTGTGCAAAATAAAATGGTACTATCATTTATTTCGTTGACTTCTCATCAGCTGCATACAGCCCAAAGACATTATTAAGTATATCCACAGAAATACTTCTGACATACTTGCACAGAGAGTTCATTTCTAAACAAAAAATCAATCAATTAATATATGCATACAATGCTTATAATAATAAACACTTTATCCCAAACAATAATCGGTCGGTCGGTCGGTTTTCGACATAGAACTTTGCACATATGTGCGGCAGTTCAAGTCGCCACAATCTATGTAGCACGCAAAGCAAGAGAAGGAAGTAGAAGAAATGCATAATATAGACAGTAAACAGAGGTGTGAGACAAAGGAATAGTAATAACGAAGAACAAAACAGTTTCGTTGGAAATCATAAGTCACAAGGAGTGGATGCATCTGCGCCACTGAGAACGATTTTGAGCCATGTCACCAATTGTTTCCAACCATTGGTTTTTACCATCCCGAGGGCCCCAACCAGGAAGTCTACATCTTCCTACGTGGCTTAGATTAACTGTTGTGGATTTCATTGATTGGTGCCATGTTTTGGTTTGACCGCCACTAGCTCTTTTCCAGCCTGACCCTATATCAGCTAGCATTGCCCGTCGAGGGAGGCGATGACTAGGCATACGTAGCACATGTCCTAACCATCTCAGTCGAAGTAATTTCACAGTCTCGTCGATTGATTTCCCCTCCTTACCTAGCACTCGACGCCTAACCTCAATATTGCTCACCTTATTATACCACTTTACTCGGGAGATAGAACGCAGACACCTATGATCGAAGACAGCTAATCTTTTCATGTCTTCTGCTCTCAATGGCCAGGTCTCACAGCCATAAAGGAGGACGGAGCGGACTGTTGAGCAGTACACACGCCCTTTGGTCGATAGTCGGATATCGCGTCTACGCCAGAGACGGCGAAAACTGGCGAATGCGAACCTAGCCCTCTGTATTCGTGCTGAAATTTCGTCGGAGATCAACCCGTTTGGGCTGATGGTACTTCCCCAGTAAGTGAAGCGGTCAACGTGTTCTACCACTTCACTTCCTATTTCTAATCTAGGGGTCGATGAAGTCCAATCCTGCAGCATCATCTTACATTTTATAGGGGCGAATCGCAAACAAACAATAATAATCATACACAATGAAATTTTTTGGCATTACGTAATCAAATGAAAGAAAGGATGAGAACATCCAATTACCTGGGCAAGAAAAGACTGATAACTGTTTCCTTCTGAACACATAAATAGGGTTTCAGGCGCTTGATGGAGATTGCTTCGGCAGACTAAAGGAGAATTGAACTCTTTTGCCTATTGATAATTTTGAACGATCTTGCGATGTCCACTCCATGACTCGTGTCAAGGAGATGCCTAGAGATGGAACTGTTGAAAGCATTTTTTTCTTGAGACGTAGGCTTTTGAGAACATGTTCAGAAAATCGTAGGTGTGCTCTTCTCTCTGTCTTCCCAATGTAATCGCTCCCGTAGATACATGTAAATTTGTATACACAGTTGGAGTTTACAGAAGAAGGGTATCTGTCTATTTTTGATTACACCAAAGAGCATGTTGTCCGGTAGATGGGAACCAGCTTAGCTGCAGGATGGGCTGCAATATTTTCATCTTTAAAATCAAGTTGCCCTGGTAACTAGATGTTTTCGTCCTCTCTTTCATTTGATTACGTAATGCCGAAAAATTTCATTGTGTATGATTATTATTGTTTGGAATAAAGTGATTATTATTATTATCATTAACATTTTATGCATATATTGATTTTTTGTTCAAAAATGAACTCTCTGTGTAAGTGTGTTAAAATTATTTCTGTACATAAACTTAATAGTGTCTTTGGGCTGTAAGCAGCTGATGAGAAGTCAACGAAGTAAACAATGATGATATCATTTATTTTGGTCTTACTTTATCCAGAAACTCTGGTTTGGGGAAATCGCATACTCTCCAGATCAACTTCTTCATTCATACATTATGAACTCATAATCTTCCAGACACTTTTTTCAACAAATGATTTCGCTAATTTTTTATATACCAGAGATCTTTTTTTATTTCTTTTTCATGTTTACAGTTTCTTCCGTCTTTCTGTTGAAGCTCAAGTTTGCCTTTGTCAAGAATTTATAAAAAGCATGAAAAGTGTAAGTAGTAATTATTATTATTATTATTGTATCCTTTAATTCCTACAGGAACATAGGGCTTCAGCCGTGCGTCTCCATTGCGTTCTGTTCTCTGCTAGAGTCTTCACCTGGTTCCATGTCTGCCCACACATTTTCATCTCCTCTTCACATGACCTCCTCCAAGTCACCCTTGGACGACCAGCTCGCCGTTTCCCATTCTCTCGGATTCTACTCGAGGGCTTGTCTAGTGATGTCACTTGATGGTTTCCTCAGAGTATGTCCAATCCATCTCCATTTCTTCCTGCTTATTTGTTGCACAATCGGTTTCTCGTTGGTTTGCTCCCAGAGATCCCTATTGCTGATCTTTTCTGGTCATCTGATCTTGAGTATTGAGCGAAGACAGTTGTTAATGAAGGTCTGCAGTTTGTTTGAGGTGCTCTTTATGACGCGCAGTGCAAGTCTCTGATCCGCATAGTAGCACTGACTTCACATTTGAGTTGAAAATCCGGATCTTATTTTTGATGCTGAGTGTTGTTGACCTCCACAATTTTATTCGGTTGAAAATTTTGCCTTATTATTTGTTGACACACCGTGTAGTATTCACATTATTCATTATTACTGATTAGAAGTATGAACCATTGTTAACTCCTTGAGTGTATTCTCTTCCTCTGATTTTCTTATTATTGTATGTTTACCAACGGAATCAATCAGCTCGTGACGAGAATATCTTAACTTTGATGTCCTGTAGAGTAGGTTGCATACCACTGAAGGGTCATAAACTAGGACGAAATAGCTGTTCCGTACACTCCTAAATAACTTCTTTGATTGGTTGTACAAGGTCGAACTTTCGAAAGTTATCTCTGTGTTTGTTTTTTCTTCACTGGCAACCCTCTCGAATCACTGGTCTACCTAAATTTCCATTTCAACCCAATGCAATAAGATTTCTTGTATTTCTCTTTGTTTGAACCAACCACTCAATTATGTCTGTGGTTCGCCGAATCTGCTGACGCACATTTCTCATTGACTTTCAACCTACTACTGCACATTTCTCGGTGACGAGAGAAAAATTACCATAAGGAGGTTGTTTTATTCTTTAAACCGAACAGCATTGCGTCACAAGATGGAGTTTAGATTGCAATTCTGCATGAAAATCATGAATGAAGAGAAAAGCTATTATTATTATTATTCAATAAAATTCGTCTGAAGCGGGTCGCCTCAGCAGCCGATAGTGTTGAGCCGGCTTAAACCTGCAGAATATCAGTATTTTACAGGTTCGGTCACGAGCTGACACCCATTAAGGAATTATTAGAAAACCAGAGAGTGCTGAACAACTGTTTCGTCCCAGCCCGGAACTCTTCAACAGCACGTGCCCACTGGGTTCTGAACCCCTAGACCTTCCGGTTACAAGGCGAGCTCGCAAACCACTCAACCACTTGGGACCCGAATCAGTGGTCCATGAATTCTAACTTCTTCCATTTCTCAATATTTAGCTCAACTGTGTGTGTCGGTGGCACAGCCGTTGAGACCGTCGCCAACCATCCATATGGTGCGGGGTTCGATCCCCGGCCGACGCACACCTGATATCAATGGTTGGCCTGCTAAATTTGGGCTACCGATATTCCATACTTGTATCAAAAATACTGTGTGCAGTCAAGCTATAATAAAAAAAACCACCAGCTAATGTCATTGGCGAGTAACTGTCCACTTACCTTGACTTGGTGAACCCTGTTGGTCACAACTCCTCAGTAGAACTCTAGGTAACTTCCTATATAGAACCAATCTCTAGTGAACATCAGATTTTCAGCTAATAGTGTGTTATTATTCCCTTTGATTCGGAGTGGAACGTAGAGCTTCAGCTGCACATCTCCATTTCATCCCATTTCTCTACAGTCCTCGTTAGCCGGCTTCACTTTTGCCCATAAGCTTCCATCTTCTCGTTATACGATCTCCTCCATGTCGCCTTCAGATGCCCAACTCACCTTTCCACATTCAAGTTCCACTTGAGGGCCTGGCATACGATGTCACTCGACAGTTTTCTCAGCGTGTGCCCAATTCATTTTTTTCTTCCTCCATATTTTTGGGGTGTATAGATTCTTAGTTGCTTTGTTGTCGGAGTTCTATGGTTCTAATTCTTTTTGGTCATCTCATCTTCCGTGTATAGAGGACAAAAAACTGTTATTAAAAGTCTGTAAGTAGCTTGTTCCTAAAGATTTTCGTGATGCACTATGTTTCTGAACTATATTGAAGCTCTAACTTGACATTGTGCTTCGGTGGCATAGAGGTTAGGACGCTTGCCGACCATCCACACGGTCCGGGTCTCCCGGCCGACGCTCTCCTTTACCTCGGTAAGCCAGAAATAAAGCTGTGAGACAGGAAAGGTTTGGAATGAGGCTAGCAACCCCATCCTGTAAAATTAATACTGCTACAGAAACTTCAAGCCATTAGCTTAAAGCCCTATGTTCCACTGGGAACGTGAAGGAAAAAAAACTTGACATTCGTGTTGAAAATCCGAATCTTGTTCCTTATGCTTAGTTAATTAGATTTCCACACTGATTTCAAGATAATGAAAGTATGTCCTGTTGTTCTAGTCCTTTGTGTGCCTTTGACATTCTCATCCGTAACGACTGCTTTTAGTTGACACGGTGCTGCCCAAATAAGTGAAACAAGTGACGTAACCGCGTTCAAATTTCTTCTTCCCGTGATAGTCTCACCAGGGTAATATGACTTGATATTTTGTCTACTATAATATAATTTTTACTAGTCGTTGTACACATAAACAAATCTCTTTTTCTTCTATTTCGTTTCATTGTATTTATTTTTCCTACAGATACATGAAAAGCAGCAGTCAATTGATACTGAAGAGGTGGACAATGAAAAGACGAAACCAGCACTATCAATTAGTCAGTACACATCTAATCTCTTATTAGAATGTAGTAATGCTGGCAGTTATTTGAAAAATGCATCTAATTTACTTGTGCCTGTTGTTCAGCTTGCCTGTATAAATCATGCTCAATCTTCGAAAGTTGAATAAACACATTTTTTTATTATTAGTATGTTTATTTTGGAGGAGCTTTACTGGGTCTTTTTTACTTTTCATTGCCTTTGTGTGTGTGTGGAGAGAGCGATGTGAGTACATTGTGAATAGTGCAAATGAACTAAAAAAAGATCCTCAACCAGTCTTTCATTAATAAACAGACAAACGTATTTTATTCATTGGGTTCTATTCCGTCTCATCTTGTAATTATTTATTGATTTTTTCTCTTGTTCTCGAATGATTTGCTGGTTTTGTGTGTGTGTGTGTGTTTGTTTATGTACATTCCTACTGACTTATATTGCAATATGACATAAATTTATACTGTAAATTGTGTTTGTAAATTTCTATGTACCCAGAAAGTCAGGCAACTGTAATCTTACCTATTACCAAACAAATTTGCCGGAGGAAATAGAGGTGGTTACAGGATTTCATCATGAGCTGACATTGGTTAGAGAACCATTGGAAGACCACCACTGGAGTACTGGACAGCTGTTTCGTCAGCCTAGTCTGGGACTCTTCAGCAGTACGCACCCACCGGGGTTCGAACCCAGGACCTTCTGGTTACAAGGCGAGCTAGCTCGTAGACCATTAAGCCACTGAGATCCGACCCGATCCAATGGCCCATGACTTCTAACTTTTTAAGTCGTGCCCAGTAGGGTGCAGCACGTCGGGTGTGAGGAAAAATACTCGCGCCATGTCGTGAATTGGCAGAAGTTAGAGTTCATGTGCTGGCCATTGGATCGGGTCCTAGTGGCTTAATGGTCTACGAGCTAGCTAGCCTTGTAACCAGAACGCCCTGGATTCGAACCCCGGTGAGTGCGTACTGCTGAAGAGTCCCAAACTAGTCTGACGAAACAGCTGTCCAGTACTCCAGTGGTGGTCTTCCAGTGTTCCTCTGACTGATGTCAGCTCATGATGAAATCCTGTAACCAATCAATCAAACCCCTGTAAACCAATACTTGAAATAGAGGTGGATTGAACACATGCTGATGAGACTGTTAGCTGTCATCACTCACAAGGCACTAGAGTGGAGTCTGAGTGAGAAATAACCACTTGGGCATTCGAGGATTAACATAGAGGAGTTGGTACTGGGGAGAGATAAAAGCTTATGGTCAGTCGTGGAATCAACTAAAAAGGACTCTAGGGAACTGAATGCAATCAAGATTTGCAGCTGAAACTCTATGCCTCAGTCGGAACCCAAGGGAATAATAGTAATAACAATGTTCTCTGTGAAAGCTATTCAACATCGGAAATGCCACTGAACAGTTCAAGCACAAATCAGTGAAAATCATTAAGGACAAGATTTTTTTTGTCTTCTGCATTCCTAGAGGAATACTTGGGCTTCAAGCTTTGCATTTTCTGTAACCGAGGTGTTTAGTTTACTGTGTCGGTTTGTTAGTCTCACGTCTAATCCTCACTCTTTTCTGGGCTTCCTGTTTTTCTATTAAAATGGGTGAGTCGGCTGGGATTCGAACCAGAATTTCCCGCCTGGTTGGTGAACATTCTATCACTGAGGCATGATTTTACTCGATATTCGAATTAAAATGAACCACTGGGAACAATTTATAGTCATGACATACAAATCCAACAATTATTAATAGTTGGAACAATCCAGTTTTGTAGAATGAAATCACTTATATCAACCAATAGTGCCTTCTAGCTAAGCAGAAGTAATCTGAACAGCAGACATGCGCTATGTTAATTTTCATCCAAGTTTCTCAGTGTTTTACTCGGTTATATCTAGCTAAGAGAGCCGAATCAGTTTGAAAAAAACACTAATTCCGGCTGGCTACTTTGCGTTGATTGTAGATTCTGAAGTCTAATAATGATCATTTGAATGGCTTTAAATTCAGTGACCAATGATCCCCGTATTCCGCTAATTGATAACGGGCCTACACTCAGTTTTGTAATCCTACAGGTTACTACTTTTAATCAGAACTTTAACTTGAGATTATTATTCATTGTCTATCTGTCTGTTTTCGACATAGAACTTTGCACCGATGTGCGGCAGTTCAAGTCGCCACACTCCATGTAGCACACAAAGCAAGAGAAGAAAGTAGAAATGCATAGTAGAGACAGCAGACAGGGATATGAGACAAAAGGAATAGTAATAACGAAGAACACTATAGTTTCATTGTGAATTATAAGTCACAAGGAGTGGATGAATCTGCACCAGCCATTGAGAACGATTTTGAGCCATATCACCAATTGTTTCCAACCATTGGTTTTTACCGTCCTGAGGACCCCAACCAGTCAGGAAGTCTACACCTTCCTACGTGGCTGGCTTAAACTAACTGTTGTGGATTTCATTCACTGATGAAGCCATGTTTTGGTTTGACCGCCGCTAACTCTTTTCCAGCCTGACCCTATGTCAGCTAACATTGCCTGTTGTCGAGGAAGGCGATGACTAGGCATACATAACACATGTCCTAACCATCTCAGTCGATGTAATTTCACAGCCTCGTCGATTGATTTCCCCTCCTTACCTAGCACTCGACGCCTAACCTCAATATTGCTCACTTTATTATATCATTTCACACGGGAGATAGAATACAGGCACCTATTATCAAAGACAGCTAATCTATTCATGTCTTCCATTAATGACTAATAGTGTGTTACTCAGTAACGATATTTTGTGAGAAATAGTTAAGTGTCTTTTACGACGTTTGCTGGTCCTAGGCTCGAACCTAGGTGTGTTTGTGCACTGCTAATTTGTAATAAATTAAAATCAAATAACTTCTTAGTCCTTCAATCATTTCACATTTCGACAACAAAATAAATTAATCTAATGCCTACTAATGACTTACGATAGGACATAGTGGCTTGAAGTTTTAGTGAGGAGTTATAACCAGTGGAGTTGATCAGGTTGGAGGTGAGGGCAAGTAATCTCCGGTGATTTTCAATGGCGTTAGCGCAATTTATATATATCGCGAATTGATGAGAGTTAGAATTCATGGGCTGTTGGATTCCGCTCCAATAGCTATATGGTCAACGCACTCACCTTTTTACCTGAAGGTCTTGGGTTCGATTCATAGTGGAGCCATGGGCGCTTACTACCGAAGAGTCCCAAACCGACTGAGTGCTTACAAAAAATGCACAAAGCGCACCAGTTCAAGATGCGACACTCTGTGTTGATACAAAGCCAGAGAAAAGAGATTCAAGTGAACTACAATTAGCAGAATTGTGCGAAAGAAAGAACAGCAACTTGAAAAAAACCTGAGGGCGTAGCGGATTCAGGAGATTACAAACGGTAAGCGCATTTTTACCATTAAGTACGATTTCGAGCCTCATCATCAGTAGTCTCAAGCTATTGATTCGTAGAGTGTCAAAGACGCCAACCGGTGAGTCTACACTTCACTATGATGTGGCTTAGGTCAACTGTCAACGACTTCAACTCTTCCCAAACCTAATCCTATTTCAGTTAACATTGCTCGACGAAGAATGTGAGGCCATTGACTTCAAAAATTTGTCGATTGATTTTTCCACCATAAAGAAGAGCAAAGCCAACTGCTCCGTAGTAAACTTCTCCACTGATGGATAGTCAGATATCGCGTTTACGCCAAAGATGACACAAGTTAGGAAAGCCACGTGAACCCTTTTATCCGTGCAGCAGTCAGTCAATTAGGGTTGATGCAACCTCCCAAATAAGTGAACTGACCAACACGCCCTGCCACTTCAGCTCCCATCTTTAATCTAGAAGTCAGTGTAGCATCATCTTATGTTTGTCTCATGTGTCCACAATCTATCCCATTAGTACTTAAGCCAGATAAAAACGAATTACCTGTTGTCGCATGATGGGCGTCAACCAATTAGAATCCACTAGGCTGTTAACACCTACTTTTCAAACCTTTTTATTGGATCAATATATATGCCATACATTTGCGTCACTTCTTCTCTCACTTTGTATGGAAATACATGTTTCTAACCCTACTGTATAAGTCTTCTAAAGTTTACAAGTTTCAAGTCAGGGAATAGTCGACCAGGATCAAGCGTTCATTGTCGTCAGTTAGGATTACGTATTCACACTCTGTGACATCCTAAAAGTTCGATAGGAGCGAATCGCATGCCAAACATCTGGAAATTCCTGCTTTGTGGGGCTCAGGAAACTCTTCATTTTATCGGCATCCCATCTGATAATAAGCTAATCCCTAAGTCAGTTAGGCGCAGTTCTATTAGTACATCAATGGTGAAATTAAATAAGAATGAGAACAACAGATATCTCTAACGGACACCACTGGTTGTCATCAATTCAAATGGTAATTTTCCGTAAGCACTGCATGAGTCCACGTAGTGTCTTAATTAGTGCGATCTGCTTTATCGGCACTCCCTTCACTACCGAACATTGGTCATAGTATCTCTCGGTTGATGGAGTCGAATTCCGCCTTCAGGTCAAGAAATATTGCAATTGTTGGATACTGGTAATACGCTCATATTCGAGAATCCACCGAAGGGTGAATATATGATCCATACACCCTCTACCTGGTCTTCTCGTGTTTGTTCCTCCTCAGTACCACTTAATCTACTCATGATTATTGAGCCTAAAACTTTGGATACCATATTAGTCAAGCTATCACAGGAAGACTTGTTTACCTTCATGTATACTGGATAATCAATAACTTACACCAGTCCAACGGGACTATCTCTGATTTCAAGAAACTGCCTAATATCTTAGCCCAGATAGCAGCAATATGTCACCATTGTCCTTAAACACCTCTGGAGTAATCCCATCAGGTCCTGCTGCTATGGCCTTGATTCAAATTAGAGACAGCCTTTATAACCTCAGCTACAGATGGAGACGACCGATGTCTACATCACATTCACGTAGATGTTAGATGCTGGGCAAGTTAAACATGGCTGTAGGCCAGTTTAACTGCTCCTTAAAATGTTCCAGTCTGATTGGTTAGCTCTGAAATGAAACTCGGGCGAACACTGAACTACACTCACCCCCAACCAGGCCTCCCCGACGTTCACAACCAGATGAAAGAAGTGTCATCTACACTAACAAAAACGATAATATTATTAATTACTCTTTTTCTTTTTAAAGATAAATATACACAAGAGAAAAAAATGTACAATTTTGATGAACACAACAATTAAAAATAATAAAAAAAAAGAAGAAATTATACAAAACACAAGTATTAAGCATGCGCATAATGTTAAACGAATACACACTTCCTCTTTTCTGCTTTTTTGCTTAGCATATGATGACACATATTTATGTATGCATGTATGTATGTATGTGTATATATTCATAGATGAATAAACTGGTATTTAAAAGAAAATGAAAATAAAGGCGCATATAATAATAACAAATAATAATAGTTTAATCTTTTTGACAAGAAAGAAATGAACAAAAGGAAGCCGAGAGTAACTCTGCGTCTGTGTGTATTATCGCGATATTTGTTTAGTTCAAACAAAAACAGCAACAAACGACAGAGATAATATTTTATTGATGTGAGTGTGTTAGTTTTTTTCTTAGCGCTTTTTTCGCCTTCTCTGTGATGATTTATGTGAATTTCCTGGTTGTATTGAAATTTCACAATTTTCAAGTTCATCTTTTGTTAACTATTATAAAACAAAAAGAAAATTAAAGGTTCATAAGTCAATCATAATAATAATAATGATAATAATACCTTTATTTCCTCGACGAGCAATATTAGCTGACATAGGGTGGATCAGGTTGAAAAAGACCCAGTGGTGGGTGGTGAAACCAAAACATGGCTTCATCAGTCAATGAAATCCACAAAACAGTTAGTTTAAGCCAACCAGCCAGCCACATAGGCACGTGTAGACTTCCTGACTGGTTGAGGTCCTTGGGATGGTAAAAACCAATGAGGGCTGGAGACAATTGATGATATTATTATTACCTATTATTGTTTCCTTTAATTCCTAGAGGAACATAGGGCTTCAGCCGTGCGTCTCCATTGCGTTCGGTTCTCTGCTAGAGTCTTCACCTGGCTCCAAGTCTGCTCACACGTTTTCATCTCCTCTTCACATAACCTCCTCCAAGTCACCCTTGGACGAGGTCATGTGAAGAGGTTTTTACCATCCCAATGAGGGCTGCAATTGATGATATGGCCGGCTTAAAATCGTTCTCAATGGCTGGTGCAGATGCATCTACTCTTTGTGACTTATTATATCCAATAAAACTATATGGTTCTTCGATATTACTATTCTTTTTGCCTCATATCTCTGTTTACTGTCTTTATTTTCCATTTCTTTTTACTTTTTTTCTCTTACTTTGTGTGCTAAGTGAAGTGTGGCGACTCGAACTACTGCACATCGGTCAGTCACCTTTATTTCAAACAGTACTTTTGAATCAAATGTAGAATTTTTCAGCATGTAATACTACAATATTGCACCTAATTTTCTCATTACACAATAGAGGGGTAATAATCAAACAGAGCATTTAGGTTGATAATAATGTTAGGTAAAAATATGAATGTAAAATTAGAATATTAACAATAATATAATAAATGAAACAAGGAATATAAAGGGCAGTTTATTTATTGTTTCACAGTAATTTAGTGATTTCATGCCTTACACTTTTCTCATCACATAAAATGTGTGCCGATTAAGGTATTGTAGAGGTTTTATACTTGGTCGTCCGAATATAAAATCTTCTATAGTTGTTTCTAGTATTACCTGATGAGATCTAATGAGACAGAGAGGATGCTCAGATTCCGACAAGATAATATATTCGCTAATTTTTCACAACAGTTCATGGTGTCTGTCTACAGCACAGCAGTATTAACAGGTTAGTTTAGCCACACTCCACTCGCCCTACTGACAACTTTCAGTGCTACAGGATTTCATCAGGAGCTGACATTGGTTAGAGAACCACTGAAAAACCTGGGAGTACTGGACAGCTGTTTCGTCCTAGTTTGGGACTCTTCATCAGTACGCACCCACCGCCAGGGTTCGAACCCAGGACCTTCTGGTTATAAAGCGGGCTCGTAGACTAGACCATTAAGCCACTGGGACCCGATCCAATGGCCCATGAATTCTAACTTCTGCCAATTCACGACATAGCGTGACCACTATCCAATGTCTTCAGCGAGTATTTGTCCTCAAATCCGACGTGCTGCACCCTACTGGTCACGACTTAAGAAGTTAGAAGTCATGGGCCATTGGATCGGGTCCCAGTGGCTTAATGGTCTACAAGCTCGCTAGCCTTGCAACCAGAAGGTCCTGGGTTCGAACCCTGGTGGGTGTGTACTGATGAAGAGTCCCAAACTAGGACGGAAGAAACAGCTGTCCAGTACTCCCAGGTGGTTTTTCAGTGGTTCTCTAACGGGTGTCAGCTCATGATGAAATCCTGTAACCAATCAACCAAATCCCTACAAACCAACACTGTTCGCAGTAAAACAAAGTCTTTCTTAAGTAGCCCAGGAAAGATTAAATTGGAGAGAGAGCAATAAAGAAGCATAGGTGGTCGTATACATGGATTCGGTTGTAAGACTAGAAAGCACTACTGGTTAATGTGATTAGTATACACAACTCATTTCAATCAGTTAACAGAAAGAATGATTGAAAAAAACACAAAAAAAACAAAGAGTAATTACCTCTTCATTTGTACCCAGTTCATTTAATTTATCACGTAATTCTAAATTTAATAGTAATTCACGACATTCTTCACGTGCTGTTTTTGCCTCTGTTTCTGCTTGTTCTGTTCTTTCACGCCAAGCTTTTTCATTCAAAAGTAAACTTTTATTTAACGCTCTCTCTTCTTCTAACTCTTTTTGTAAACGTTGTGCTAATGATGTTGCCTTGAATAGAAAGAAACAGAGAGTGGAAAAGGGAAAAGTGTGAATATTATTAAACAATGAGAAATCTTTAATAAGATATTTACAAATTAGGAGAATAATACATGCTGCACTCTTCATACAGAGGAGAATAGAAGACCTGACCTGGATGATAACTAGGGGGTGGGGGGGGGGGGAGATGATTTAATCTACTTCTTTGAGTTCCGAGTAAAGCATACGACTTCAAGCTGAAAGCTTCAAAGTCTCAGTGGCGATGTGATGTTGCTAACCTTATTCATCACCTTCTCACTTTTCTGAACTTAATGTCAGCCACTAATAAGAGGCAACGTTTCAGAATGGATCAGTCTGGAATCGAGTTTGGATCATGTGCGTGGTTGGTGAGCATTCTGCTATTGAACCATGAATGTACACTATTATATTATGCTTTGAATTGATGTTAACTGGTTTGAGGCGATAGATAGGAAGCTCTGGATCCAGATTTTGTGATTATTGGCAATTAACAGCAGGGTGAATCTGTACACTTGAAGGAACTGATGCCCTTTTGGAGATTTATATACACGTAAATAAATCCCGCAATCTTAAGACATTACTACTTTATTATTCGGGCTCACTAGTGAACTCCTGTAGGACTTGTAATGGATACATTGGTTTGTTACTAGAGTGTAATCCATATCTTACTGGCGTCCAACAATCATTATATTTCTTGACCTAAAGGCGGCATTCGATTCTGTCGACCGAGAGGTACTCTGGCGATGTTTGGCTGTAAAGGGAATGCCGAGAAAATACATTGCACTGATCAAGGCACTCACTCTACTCGAACTCATGCAGCCAGGTGAGGGCTTACGGCGAGTTGTCATCTGAAGTGGTGACGACTAGTGGTGTCCGTCAGGGATGCCCACTATCCCCATTTCTATTCAATTTCATCATAGACATACTAATGGACTTAACCCTAAGTGACTTCAAAGACTCATGGATTGACTTGCTACCAGGGAATAGTATTCTCGTTCACTTAGAATATGCAGATGATATAGTCCTTCTAGGTGAAGACGATGACAAATTCCAGCCGAGTCTTCTGAACACCTTGAGCTGCAATCTACGAATGTTCACCATGCGATTCGATCCAGACAAATGTAAGATGATGTTACAGGACTGGAATACACTGCCTCCTAGTTTAGAAATAGGAAACGAAGTAGTAGAGCATGTTGACCACTTCACTTATTTGGGAAGTACCATCAGCCCCAATGGGTTGATCTCTAACGAAATCTCAGTACAGACACAAAGGGCTAGTTTCGCATATGCCAGTTTTCGCCGTCTCTGGAGTAGACGTGATATCTGGCTATCGACCAAAGGGCGTGTGTACTGCTCAACAGTCCGCTCTGTCCTCCTTTATGGCTGTGAGACATGGTCATTGAGAGTGGAAGACATGAAAAGATTAGCTGTCTTCGATCATAGGTGCCTGCGTTCTATCTCCGGTGTGAAGTGGTATAATAAGGTGAGCAATATTGAGGTTAGGCACCAGTCGAGTGCTAGGTAAGGAGGGGAAATCAATTGACGAGGCTGTGAAGTTACACCGATTGAGATGGTTAGAACATGTGTCACGCATGCATGGTAAAAACCAATGGTTGGAGACAATTGGTGATATGGCTAGGGCTTCAATTAATTTAAGTATGTGGCCCAACCTTGTTATATATATAGGCTTAAAGGCATTGATATAAGTATATGAGCAATAGTTTGTGCTCGAAAAGTCATCAGTTAATATTACTGTACAACACTGTGATTTATCGAAATAAAATCTTATCCATAATGAACTTAAAGGCATTGTTGAAATCAACCTTATGACCCATCTCTATAATGTGCTTCGCTATAGATGATGTTGGATATCTATTTCCGGGGTCAATTGTGTCTGGCGATTTTATTTGTTGTTGCAGCCACTTTAGAATGTGTTCTGTAGCCCTAACCTATAGAGACCGATGGGTCCTCCCTATGTACGTGTCACCACACGTACATGTAAATTGATAAACACAATTGGGATATGATACTATTGTTCGGATACTGTGAGGGTGTACAGGACAGAATGGTTCTCGTTTTCTCTATGAAGATGAGTTTAGCTGCATATTAAGTTCTATTAATTACCTTCTTGAGTCTTTGTCTAGTAACTAGACTTTGTTGATCACCCCTGAACGGCAAGGATATATAAACATCCTTTTCGGGAGCTGATTGGATTAATAGAGCTCTATGGTTGACACTTCCGTAACGCCTAATAAATCTCAGTGGGTAATTGTTATCTAACAATATTGTCTTTCTTCTTCACTTGTATCGGCAGTACATATACGGTGAATGCGCTTGAACAAACACTTAACCAACGCCTTTTAATACTGCAGTCGACAGAAACTATGATAATTTAGGTACTTTCACGTCCATGTGGACTTTCTGTAGACAGATCGTTTTACTGACCCATCTTCTCGGCGGGTTATGAGTACATCTAAAAATGGCAGGCAACCATTATTCTCTTTAACGTATGTTAGCGATATACTGTTTTGTACTCTGTTGATCTGGTTCAGGATTTCTATGGCGTCTGTCGGTTTATCACAAATGACTATTATGTCATCTACATATCTCTTATAAAAATAAACTTTTCCAATTTCTTCCTCCACTAGGTTCTCGACATGCGACATATATACATATATCAGCTAACAATGGACCTAGGGGGCTTCCCATAGCAACACCATCGATCTGGCGATAATGCTCGCCCTCGAATGTAAACTTAACATTGTTAGTACATAGAAGCAGTAACTCTTTTAAATAAGATATGGATACTGGTAATAGGAAATCGTTGTCAGAGATGTAACCACATAAAATGTCAACAGTCTGTAAAAGAGGTACATTTGTAAATAAAGAATCAACATCTAGGGAAAACATGGTTTTGTCCTTTATATCAACGTTATCAAGACAATCAATTAACTCTACTGTAATTAAGAACAAATAAGTCAGCAAAGAGATCTCTTTTCATAAAGAGAATTTATCGTAAGATACATTGAGTAAGGCAACTAATCAAGAATGGATATCCAACCTCCTTCATTGATAAACACCTAAAGAGAAAGACCTACTCGAAACCTGGATGTACCGAAGAAACAACTAGTTGTACATTTGGAATTCAAGGGGGATCCAATTAGTGAAGTTCTCTGAAGCTGTCAGTCAAAATCAATTAGAAAAAGGTTCTTTGCTGCATCTCTACACCTCATCTTCTCCACACACACACACACGCACACACACAATCTTGTTCACTAAAAGATAAGGTAAAGCTGTTGGTAATTTGTATTTACCAATTTTCACTTGCTTCTATGGAGTTAAGCAAATAGGTCGTAGTAGCAAAACATTGTTCAGACGCGCTCATGAAAACCTGCCAGCTTGGTTGTCGAAAGGCGAAAGCAGAACAGTCAACAGCTGGTCCCTGGAGCATAGTATTATTTGTGATCGATCACTCAGCATCAGCAGAGACTTCATTCACAGTCATACATAAAGTAAGACCAAGTCGTTCAAAAAAGATTTTACTTAAATCTTTTTTTATGCAACCGAAGATCTAGCAATCTATAAGGAAAAATCGGAACTTTGTACGTAGAAGGCGTTGTATTCAGCCTCTTTTAATACAATCGTCTTAGTGTCAGTTGTTGTATGATAAACTCTATTTAGTCATTTCATTTTTTGTAACCAATCTTGAATTCTTTTTTCTCTTTTTCCCTATCAATTATTTGCAAATGACTATTCATCACTGAGCTAATTAGTTCTCAGCTCACTCGATTCCGTCAGGCTACTCACTGTTTTTCACAAACACTGACTTATTTTGCTACTAACTGTCAGTAACATCTACCCTGTGTGTATAAAAGCCTCTGATGATGGGAAGTCAGCAGTTCAATTAATGTAAAAACATTTGAACACACACACTGGTAACTGATTTAGGGGGAGAATTAACTAGTTAAGAAGCAAAAGATTATTCGACTCATTCAGATTAGAGATTAACTCTCGTAGTGGAAAAAAAAATACGATTTATGTGCACCTATCCCAATCAGTTCACTAAAAGTAAGACTCTTTCAATAGAAATCAGTTAACCAGCAACAGCTAGGAATCCCCATTCCATATGTGTGTGTGACCTGTCCAGTACAGAAGAGCTAATCAGCCATAGCGTAACAGATTTTATGAATTCGGGGACAAAGGTATCAATCAATTATATAGAAGCGACTTCATGAGTTAATCCAAACAAAAAGGCCAACTGTCTGCAACAAGACTACTTCTATTCACTTCGATTGTAAAAAAAAACAAAGTCTATAAATAGAGTAATTACACTCTCTTAATCTAAGAAGTTCTAAGGAGGAATGCTAACCAATCAGACAAGAGTTAGATGAAACACCATGCTACGAATATCCAATTTTGTAGAGTTGTACAGGCAAGACTATTATCCATCAAAACGCCGGAACTTTTGCCAACTGATATGCCAGCTCAGATAACACCACAATCTAAGGGTTAACATAATTACAGCATACTATGCGTTAAATTATTGCATGAAATGTTATCCAACAACCACTTGCAACTGGATGCAGTTCGTAATGAGCCAAGCCTCTTGTGTGGGGGCTGTCCAAACCTTGGTAGATGGACAGCGATTCGAACCTGTGATCTGGTGATTTAAAGTCCAGCACCTAGACCAATGAGCCACAACTCTACAAGTATGCGTGGTACATTGATTCAGATATCAATATTTTTAAAAATTCCTTTACGTTCCCAGTGGAACATAAAGCTTCAAGCTGGAGACTTGAAGTTTCGGTAGCAGTGGTGTTTACTTTTGCGGGATGGGGTTGCTAGCCTCATGCCTAACCTTACCTCTTTACCAGACTTACTACTGGCTTAGTGAGGTAAAGGAGTGCGTCAGCCGGGGTTCGAACCCCAGACCACATACGTGGTCGGCGAGCATTCTACCGCTGTACCACCGATGCCTAGCTATCAATATATAA